CACTTGGGTGTCCACCAGACCATCAGATCCTTTTGTGCAAAGTTGAAATATGCTCTTTAACCAGTTTTCACAAATAACTTCATGTTTGTTGAACATTTGTGAGCCATCTATTGCATGTGCTCAGTCTTTTGAATACATAAGTTTTGGTGGGTTTTCTTTTTACATTTACCACTGACTTTCTTTTATGATAGAGTAGGAATCATTCTCGGAATTAAGTATCTGCTCAGAATACCTGAATTTATAGTTCTGAAATTTGATATTTTCCAACATGTATTTCAAATTCATTCTTTGATAATCCTAACCCATTTGAAAAGATGTCCGTCATAAGAGTGGCAAAGCAAGAAGACAAAAGGGATGCCAACACAAACCAAAATGTGGGTTTTGACTGAATAGTAAACCCAGTGTTTTTAAAGACAATTACACTGCCTTGGTTGACATATTATCTCAAGCTGGGGTTTTTGTTTGGGTTTTAAAAAAGGCACTACGTTCTTGAGTAATTTAGCTGCTACCTAGCAAGTTAGTACAGTGAAGGTGCTGACCGTCAAGACCTTGCCAAGGTGGATAGGGGAGGGTCTATCTTCAATGCAGCTGCAGCCAGTGTCACACCACTCCTCTGAGATGGGGGACTCCATCTCATCTCTGGGGATCAGCTCCATCAGCTTGTGGCTGAGTTTGTTCACAGTATGTTTTTGACTAAAACTGAAGGACAGAAAGCTCTGATCACAACTGTTACTGGTGCCTGGCACTTAACTTCAGACCTGCCTGTGGCTATGGATTTGTCTGGCAACCTGGACTCTTGGCTGAACTTCGTCACCATCACCAGACATGCCCTGCTCCTCATCTTACTTGGGTACTGTAGAATTATGCCTTTCCTGGTAAGGCCACTGTCATGTGCCTATCGTGCTATCACCTGAAGTTCTGCTTCCCATTTGTCACTGGAAATGGTTGAATCACAAACAAGGTAACAGGAAAAGAAAAGCCCAACCTATGAACTTTGAAAGTAAGAAAAAGCCAGGTACTCACACAGTGAAGGAATCAGGGGGAGCTGAGACTCTTCTCAGGTCAACGGACTGCACTTTATGAATACTATAGGCAGCAGGAAATGAGTGGCCAGTAGAAAGGCAGCACACAGTGTGGACAGACAAGGAAAAAGAGAGGTGGGGGAGAGAGAAAGAGTAGAAGAGAAGAAAGAAAGAGAAGACATACAACATTTAAACAGAAACAAAAGGAATGTGTCACATAAAAGTTGAATGAAGACACATGCAGAACTCCAAGTTCACACTAGGAAGCCAGGAGCAACAGAAGACATGCAAATGGAGAAAATCACTGCTACATGACACATAAGAGCTTTCTAGACACAAGTGATGAGGACCAATGAGAAACTACACACACTGCTATACAAGGAAGACAAGGAGCCCCAGGATTTTTTTCACAGGCATTGAAAAATTTTGAGGCAACATACTTTGGAAGCAGGTCCAGAAATGAAAACAAACATCAAAGCCAATATCTGACTGGATGGAATTGTCTCCAAAGGCTAGCCGACTTTAGTTAATGTTTAAGAAAAATAAAATACCCTTACTGAAGATTTTGTATCCGCAATGGCAAATTGCTGTCTCCATTCTTCTTCCATGTACCTTAGGGAAACATGTATTTTACATATAGTGACTCCCAAGACTCCTTTAGTGTTTATACTCAAATGGTCTCTTTGCTCCTCTCAAGTATATGGAAAATGTTTTATTTATAAGCTCTTCCTTCTTCTTTCCGTTCCATTATGTGGAACATTCTTTCTCAACCAAAACTAAAAGCCAGTGAAACCAGAATACTGTTTTTTGTGGTTCAGAAAGTGATCATTAACTGAAACCTACTGAGAAGCATATTAAACTGTAGTTTCTAATCAGAAAAAGACTCCTGGAAAAAAACTGAGCCACAACTGTTCTTATTCCATGTACATTTTGTTTATAGCTCATAAGAACCACATTGTTGGCTTGATCACAGAAAACCAGCTATATGTTGTCTCTTTCACATGTTACCTTGAGCAATAGGGAAGAATAGGAATGACATCTTAGCCAGCAAGTATTTTAAAGGAAGGACAATAAGAACATAATTCACTCTTCTGCAGAAAAAAAAAAAAAAAGTTTCTGCTGACCTGAATGTAGCAAAAAATTTCTTTTGCTGGTACAAATAGAAAAGACATATGAGAAAAGACACCCACATTTTTTTCTGCACAACCCCACTATCTTCCTTGTTTTAATCCATAACCAAGTGTGAGCATCATCACCTTGTCCTATATATTCCTTGCACCTAAGAAGTTTCTCGCTCAAGAAACTTTATTGGGTTGTAACTTATCCCAATCACAGAACAACACATCATTGGATGAGGAAGAATTCATGCCTGCCTTTTACATTCCAACAACCTCCATTAGAAACAAATTAGAAACTCTGTATTTACCAACACCTTCACACTTCAAATCAAAATTTTAAAGTTATCAGAAAAGCACAATCAATAAACAGGTCATCTTCACCTACACAAGTGTAATCATATAATCTGTATGGCACGTCAAAACAGCTCAACTTTCCAAAAGGAATTATTAAAAAAAAAAAAAGAACGTTTGATGAACACTAAGAAGAGACATCACTAGTTGCCACAGCTAGTCCATGAATAATTTGGGACAATTAATATAATGAGAAATTTGTTTCTAGGCAATTCAGCAGTGAAAGATTAAACAACTGAATAAAACATTAATTGCCAATAATTCACCCAGCTATGACAAAAAGTGTCCTCTCAGAGCATCTACAGGTTTTGAAGAACAGCAGCAACTAGGAAGATGGGCAACTCTTACAGCTGGAAGAGAACCATGTTTCTAAACCCTCTTGCTTGCAAGTGAGAGAGGCATGAAATCTCCATTCTTCTCACTTGGCTACATTACATATGGGCTGTTCAATTCTAAGATACTATTATTCCATGGAAACTCAAGTGCATCCAACAAGGCAAACAATAAACTCACTATCCTCTCTAAACCCCTCTCCCAAAACCTCTAGAACAAAGGAGAGCAGGGGTAAAAGATAGAAAAACAGTGTAAGACTTCTTCAAATTAAGTCTTTTTCTACTAATGATAGTGTACTAGCTGAAACTCCAAAAAGCAATCCTACTGCTCTCCTTATCTAGCAAAAATATCAATGCCTACAATAATAGCAGCTCTGTATTACTGTGACAAAGATAATTTTTTAATCACTTTACTGGCAAGGAGCTCAAGAACAGCTGTCTAACAATTACGGATAGCTCCAGACCCACTTACTAATCTCACACGTCTAACGTTCAAACGACAGTCATAACAGAGCAATCTATCATATTCAATCAAATATAAGGCTTTCTGGGAGATTTCAATGGAACAGGGAGATGCATTCCAGATATCAAGTTAAGAAATGTAGATAAACATATGTAATCGAAAATGTTCCCCCTTGTGAAATGCGGCAAATCAGCATCATATTGAATGAACTTCTTACAATACTCAAATGATTCCTAGAGTTTAACCTTTAACATGTGATTTGCTTTCCATCACACCAGGAGATTCAACTCCTCTCTCTCCTTCTCCTTTAACACTTGAAAGCAAAGTATACCCACACATATGTAGACATAGATATAAATATACACACATACCATTTCCAATACATGAAGATGAGACTACAGTTCCCAACAGATCATTTGTATTTTCCCAAAATGAAAGTCTGCAGCTAAATCAAAGGACTCTGACAGCAGCAGTCTACCATAGCACATTTAAATCAAGCTAAAACAGAAAAATATCCTTTTGACAACTGGTATATACTATGAATCTGTATTTTCCTACCACGTTTTAAATTCAAACCTCAAAATCCAAGCCTAACCATGCTCATAATCAGATTGAAACACTAGAAATTTTCTTTTTATATTTGCATTAGTCTCCCTCAGTGTAGCAAAAGATGCCGAGGATTGCTCTCTGCTTAATTCTGGCTTTCGCAAATGATTAAGTCATTGTGGTTGGATGAAATTGGTCATTGCTGCCCACAGGCAAGTGTCTGCTATTCTTCGTGGCTCAAGAGAGATGAATATACCTTATGTATTTTCCAGGAAAATAGGAATTGCACATTAGAGATACGGGCTTTACCGAAACTTAAAGCATTACTCTCAGTAAGAGAACACAGAGTGCTAAATTGAAAAGGAAGGCACTGAAAGCAACCAGGGAGGCTTTGATTACACAAACAGATTGACAATCAGTAGGTGACAAGAAGCTCTAAAGGGCTGGAGTCAGAGTTTGAAATGAAGCAATACCTTCCACTAAACAATACTGTTGAAAGACACAGGCAACCTGAAGTGAGCCTGAGACCTTTCTGTTTTTTTCCAGGTACATAAGTTAGTCCAATGAACGACATTATATCTCATCATAAACCTTGCCTCACCATTATATCTGCAAGAGCAAAATCCTCCACCTACCTTCCCAGAAAAAGTAAAACAGTGTATGGATGTTTGAATACACTGTTTTATTCAAAAAATGTGAATAAAACATTTATTCACATGAGGATCCTTGACCACTTTAGGTCTGTAGTTCAGTATCTTTGCATAAGGGACAAACTAGATTTCGACAATTTGTTACGGGGTCTCCAATGGAGCTTAAAATGCAGATCAATAAAGTTGAGAAAATTAATCAAAAGAACTTCCAGGGCAAATAACATACATATGCAGGACTGTCAGAAGCTAAGAAGCAGACTATTGAGCCTGCACAAACTTCTATAAATAAATAACTGAAAGGTACAACACCTTTCTAAAAGCAAGACAGAGGGTAACCCAGAAGATAAAAGAATAAAAGAAAATCAGGTATTTACAATACAGTGGAAAGGGAGTTCAGAGATCAGAGAGACTATTTTTTTTTTTAATGCACTGCAAGTCCAGTACATGCAAAATCCATGACCAAATATGCTGCCACAAACAGGCCTCCTGCCATTAGGACATGCACATATCCAACTCACTCATTCAGCAAAGGCATAGATGTTCTCCTCTTGCTTTTTTGCACCATGTTGGCTTGGTTCCTTAAGGAAATCCGAATGAGTGAGGGAGCCAATCGACATGGTTCACCATCCACTTGCATGGGGATAGATTTGTATGTTAAAAGTGTCACCTCACGGCACTGATGCAACCTCTCTCCATGACCACCCACCTGGAGAGCAGCCTGCAAAAGAACAAAAAATAAGAAAACAGTTCAACAAACAGGAAAGAAAAGAAAAAATACCTCAGAACAAATAGTTGAGGCAGTTAATAAATCCAAAATGCAGTTCTACTGACAACATCCATTACACGGTGTTCCATGCATGAAGCATTCTAACAAAGCACAATGAATGTATTTTCCCTTAAGATTTGTAAAGTAGTACTTAAAATTTCACAAAGAAAAGTGGTGGGCAGCAAACATGTCTAATCATACACACCGAACATCTCATCACATACACACACACATGTGCATGCGCAAATGAATACCTGTGTTCATCCTTAAAGGTTTCAATTTGTTTTGGTTAGTTTGTGTGTTTTTTCACTAACAGTAATGTTACTAATTATTTGCTCCTTAAAACAAGAACCCTAATCAAGTACATCTGCAAGACAGAAAAATGGTTTTCCCTTCCTGAACAGAACAGAGTCCTTAATGTGAATTAGATGAATTTAAAATCATTATCATGAAAGCTTACACAGCAACTCAACCTTGAGACTAGAGAGGCTGAGAAGAGCAAGCAGAAGGACTTCATTAAAACAAATAAATGTTCAAGAATTCATTTGGAAGAAATGAAACAAGGAGAGCAATAAGCAGATCCTTCAAATTGTAGGCAGACGTTTGAGCAGAAATGTATTTTTTTAATTAGTGTGACTATTATGTGAGTATTAACTCTCATTTCCCAACCAGATGCAGAAAAAAAAAAATCCTTTATTAACGGAGAACAGCCTAAATACAAGACCTTAATCCTGCTCTCTGCTTAATATAATGGATCGACTGACAATATGATCAATAATATTCATAATAAATACTTCTTATAAAGTGCCTCTTTTCCTTGGTCTCACAGACCTTTCTGTTTATGACCAAGCACATCTGGAAGACATATAGAGCAAGTTAGAATTACATTAATAGTCTAGGGTTACAATGGTTCCTCAGCATCACAGCCAATGCAGACTTGTAGACCCTCAATTCTGAGCTGGGTTTCCTTTAGAGAGAAACAGCAGCTCAAAGGGCCCTACCACTTAAATCAGTCCCGATTAAATTTGTTATTAGCTTTTGAGATCACTCAAGCCACTGCAAGTAGTTAGAGTCACATTAGTGGCAAACCTAAAAGGGCTTCCAACTGAAAACTGACAGTTGGTACATGATAAATAGTACATTTGCCAGCATTTTCAAAGCATACACTAGAATCTTCACAAATGAACTAATAAAGGTTCATTCCACAAGATCTATTAAGATAACAACATTTTTTCTTACTTGTGGCTTATTTCCTGAATCCATTAGATTCAACGAAAAAGAGAGGTCAAGATTGCTGATAAAGACCACCGTTTACTTTTGCTTACTTTGAAGATTAGATTTGTCTTAATTTTGCTTTGAGGAAAAAAAAAAACATTGTCATGGGTATTAACTGAAAGTGATATGCTCTGAGGTCAGGTCACACAACAAATCAGTGTGTGAGTTTAGTGAAAACAGGCTTATCCATGTTGATTTTAACTTAGTCCACACAAGACATAGCGGCAACAAAGACCTAGAAGCGTGAATTTAAACATGATCTATACAACCTGCCAGGAGGCCCAATTATGTGCCTTCTGCTGACTACACTAAGTTCAATCTGCAGGGCCTTTAATAGATTAATGATAGGACAAGTATAAATATCAACTCCCTGTCTTTAATCACCCTCTGAAGGGATTGTCACTGTGTTTGACCACTGTGATAGAAGGACACTAGGGTATTTACAGTGAGATTGCTTTATGGTAACTCAGCTTTAAATCCACTTTAAGGGCAGCATTGACAGAAAATGCACTGACAAAATTGTTAGTTGAATTTTCTTTCTCTATCAGAACAAAAAGGAGAGAAAACATTTTTGTCAGAAATATTAAAAAAAAGAAAAACAAAAGAAAAACCAAAAACCCCAACCTTTTAAGCCATAGATAGAAATATACAAAAAATAAACATAAACAGCAGTAATTATGTGATCATAGAACATTGCCACAATAAAAACATGTCTGCATGCTGTTTTTTCTGTAATAAACCTGCCATTTAACTTGGGAGCAATGCACATGCAAATTAGCCATGTTTTGCAAATACATTTTTATTCTTAAATCCCACTTCTTTTGTTAGAAAACTACAATTTGTCTCCTTCATTTAACAGCAGAGCATGTTTTGGCCTTGGCTGAATACGTGGAATCATGGCGGCTTGCACTCTGTAGCACAGCCTTCAGAATTCACTGTGTCTGGAAGCACGTGCAACGTACTCACCAGTGAGGCCATGGTGAACCCAATGACTTCAATGTAGCCATCATCATGGCGCTGAGGCTCAAAGTCTCTGTGATCTCCAGGGTTTCCCCAGGGCATTGTGCCAGCACAATACCTACAGAAAGAGGTTTGGAAAGCAAGATCTGAGAAAGAAGTTTGCCCTGAGGTGCCCTGACTAGCAACCTGACTACTAGCCTGTTTTGCTATCCTCCAGAATTATCCAGACATACATTCCAGGATTCAGTTCAGGAACAATTAAAAGTTATGTGACAAGGGCTGGACAAAAGGGAAAACCTGCCTCTTGTTTCCAAGCTGGTACGACATCCATGAATGTATCCATCATAACCTTTAGCGTGTTCCTCTGTGAGAGGAAAATGGGGAAAAAACAGGAAATAGGTAACAGCAGCAGCAATTATTTTCTCCCAGCTTGCTTTGCTTTCTGTAGATGAGCTGTTAAGCCAGAAAACTGATTAGCCCCTCTGCTAGGCAGGCATGGGGCTGCAGCAGCGTCTCCAGCCTTGGAGCTTTATTTCTTCTCTCTCTACCATTAAAGAACAGATGCAAAAGTGATCTGAGAGTGATAGAATGGAGAACTTTGGAAAGGAGATAGAAGCCTGCAGTAAGGGAACTGCAGGACTAAAAACATCAAACGCTTTGGACTTCATGTGGAGCAAAGTGGTAGGTTGTTTAAAGCAGTGATCTCCAAAGCAGGATGAACATACCACAAGGAGTGTAAGAAAAAAGTATACAACTGACAAGACAATTAGGGTGAAGAAAATAGTGTTTGTACTTTTAATAAATAAGAAAAACACTAAAATAGTGTTTGTTCCATTTTTATCACATCCTTTCTTAATCTTTTGTGTATGTTTTATAATGTATGTAATATATTAGTACAGCTTTTATAAATAAATATACATATATTGGGATGGTGCTAAAAAATATTTTACTGATAGGGATACACAGTCAAAACCAGTTTTCAGACTATGCTCTAGATAGCAGGAGATAGACAACTTTTAAAAATACACCTATATTTCTATTTGGGACACCTTCTAACATGCTAAAACCATCATTTCTTTCAACAGCTCAGTGTTCCTTTACTAGAAAATTATTGATTCTTCCCCTCCTGCCTTCCCTGCTTTCCAGCCTTTTTCCACACTTTGCTTCTGATTAAGCAAAAGCCCAGGCAGTTTTACTATCTTGTTTGCAGGTTAGGTGCACAACTTTTGAAAGTTTGTTTGCCAATCACTTCTACTACCTCTGTATCAGAATATTCAACTTTGCTAACTAAAAATATTATAAACACCTAGCTCTTGAGTTGGCAGCACAGTGGCAATACATTTCCTGCACATTGACCCAGTCTAGAATAACTTGTAAGTAAGCAAGCATCTGTCTTGAACTTACCTGGGTATGTTTAAAAACACTATACACTGGAACTTCAGCTCCTGGATCTTTGGAGTCAGGTCTGTACCATCACACTACAAAGCCAAAGTGACAGAGCACAGAGAAATTGCTGAATGGAGCCACAGACAAGAGAAGTGTTGCTGCTTTGTAACAACTTTCCCAAGACTTTCCTTGGAATGTGTTGCAAATGTCATGCTCAAAACTGAAAAGTAACAGAGCCATTAAACTCTCACCTCACTCTCTCTCCATTCCTCCCCTCTTCCCACAATATTAGGACACAATTTCTTATACTTACCACAACTTTAACATGCTTGGATAAATCTCTTGAGCTTCTTTGCAGAAAGTCTGTAAAGGCTGCCTGCAACAGAAAAAAAGTGCAGGAATTTTCATTAGCACTTTCTCTCTTCTCTTTCCTTATTTCTCATTCCACCACAGAGCTAATTACCAAAATGCCATTCTTTTGATGCAAATTCTTGCTCACATATTTGTTTCCATATTTAAGGTACATGAGTACAGTGGGAGTCATCATCCAGAAAGACATTCTACATCATGCATTATCAAATCAGTGTTTCTCTCAACTGCATTTTAGAATAAAGTTTTGTCAATGTACCTCCTAAATGCAGAAGTGGGTAATTTTATTTCATTTTCATAATTAATTATGAATATTAATCACTCAAAATAGCTGATCTCAGACTTCCACTCCCCGTGACCATATATCCAAGACTACTCCTCAAAGCTACAAAGATACAAGCCAACACTTAGGGAATTTCTCTAGGAAAGTCAATCACAATGTGCTTTCCAAACCCTAAAAAAGGCAGACTGGCTTGTCGAGAATCTTACGAGTCAGAAGCAGATGGACCAAGACATAACCAGCACCATGTCCAAAGAAGTGGCACTTGCTAAGCTCTGTAAAGAAACAGTGCTTCAGGCACTTTTCAACAGACACGTGCATGGCATTGCCTGAAGCAGTATATATGCATTTTAAATTGCAACAGGCAAAAGGAATTGGCATGGGCTTGTGATGTGAGAAAGGAAGGGGAAATGTACTTAAGAAAACATCTGACCAACTAAGCATCATTCTGTAAGACGAATCACAACTCACCCCTGCATAAAACATTTTATTTCTAAATCGGCTGTTGAATTTCTCTGGATTTGCTTCTGTGAAAGGATAAAAAGGAAAAATAAATACACCCTAATAAAACAAGTAGATCCCATTGTACCTTCACATTCCCTGCTAGCCCTCAACTATCAGATATCTTCTCCTTGAGTAAATACTTACAGGCAGTGATTAAATCGCCTCTTAGCCTTCCTTCCGATAAGCTAAATGGATCTCCTTTAATCTCCCAGTATAAGGCACATTTCCCAGAATACAGGTCACTCTTGTTCCTTCTTGGAACCTGATTTCCTAGTCTGTGGCATGCAGAGATTTCAGAAGCAGCCCTTCTGACACCATATTCAGTAGCAGTACCAACCACATACACATATTTAGTGAAACTATTCTCTAGTGGTAACTATTCTCTAGTCAGTGAAATCATCTGACTATCAAGATTGTTCTGGCTAAAACATCACACTGGTGTGAACACTTCCAAATTACTACTTCTCAAACGATCACTTAGAACAATGCTTCTAGTTCTCCTTGAAGGCACTACATCTCACAGTATGAAGCTCCATTTTGTAAGAGTTACTTTATGTTTCTTGTTTGATTGTTTACCCTGCTACTGTATCACCCATTTGCTGTGTCACAGTCAAGAGCCACCTGTTCTTCAAACAATTAATTTAACCTCATAAGTAAATCTCAGCTCCCTTACTGAGCTGACAGCTCTTCACAAAAAGTCTCAACACCCCATGTAAGAAGCAGGAGGATCCCGAAGGCTCAGTGCTGCACATCCACTGATGTGGCTATACCTGATGGCTCTGGGCAGCAGCCACCAGAGCACTGGCTTTTACATGGAAAAATGCAACAAATACTGACCTGAACCAAACCCCCACCTTAGAGCAGAAAAGGAGTCTTTCTGAGGTCAGGGACTGAACAAAAACACACTGAATTTTACTTTTGACGTAGCAGATGAGCATGAGTAGGGAGAAGGAAGTCTTTCTGTGATGTGGAATAAAGCCTAAAGTTGATTAGAGTGCAACTTTAATTGTAGAAGTAAATCACTGACTGCATATCCAAGGCTCACTCCGTTCTCATCACTCTAACCCTAATCCCTAACCCAGGGATTAGGAAATGAAACGTTAGACTGTGGATGTCTGTAGGGGAGTAGATGTCTAGGTGTCCTGCAAGTGAACAATCCTGTATGCCAAGGGATCAAACAGCATGTCAACAGGGATAAAGTAAACCATCTTCCCTGCTCCACCAAAGCATAAGGATAAACAAGGGATGAAACTGGAAAGAGTTTTTACCCAGAACACTTCCTGAAGAAGCAGAGCTAAATATGTTTGGCTTTGAGCCAAGCCTCAAGGCACAATCTGATTAGTCACAAGAAAAGTGTAAAGGTTGCCATGGAAAAGGTCATGTTAATGTACAGGTTCCTCTGAGATATCACAATCCCTGCTTATTCCAAATATAACAATTGACCAATCTATATTGTTTAAAGTGCCATGACAGGCTGAGAGTTGAATTTCATTTAATTTGGTTTAGCGAGGCAATGGGGGCATGGTGCTTGTTTTAATACTATATGTGATTACAACAGCTCAACATAAGCAACCACATACAACCATTTATCTTAATGGACCAAGTGCTACAGCTGTGAAAGTGCTTTAAGTTTTGCTGAAGTTTCTATGGATTCTCATAAATTGCAAATGAGATCAGAAGCTGTTTTGCACTGCTTAATTCATAGAATCACAGAGTAGTTTTGTTTGGAAGTGACTTTTAAAAGTCATCTAGTCCAACCCCCCTGCAGTGAGCAGGGACATCTTCAACTAGATCAGGTTATTCAAAGCCCTGTCCAATCTGACTTTGAATGTTGGCAGGGACAGGACATCTACCACCTATCGGGGCAACCTGTGCCAGTGATTCACACCACCCATCACAAACAAAAATTCTTCCTTATGTCTAGTCTGAATATACCTTCTTTTATTTTAACGCCATTACTCCTTTCCTATCACAACAGGCCCTACTAAAAAGACTGTCCCCATCTTATAACCCCCTTTTAAGTATACGAAAGCCACAATAAGGTCTTCCCAGAGCCTTCCCTTCTCCAGGCTGAACAACCCCAATTCCACGTGAAAAACAACAAAACCCACACACCAGTAACACCTTCAAGGCTATAAGCTTTTCTCTCCTAATATACATAGAACTTGCTTTGTATATTTTAGTATTCGAGAAGGTAAGAAAGACCAGCAGTAATGACTTGTCAGAGTAGGCACTAGGGCTATGAAAAGCTCCTGGCCACACATACCCACTCACAGGAACATAGCTTGCTCTGCCAAGTATTTTTTTTTTTGTTACCCATGTAAATGTTTAAAACACTGTCATCCCTGGAATAACATATATTCTTTATAAGGCTCCATAAATTCATTATTAAATAGTGTCTCCAGTAAGTGAGTAAGTAGCCATGCATTTCATCTATACAGTATTTTCACAGTCACATTAGCAATGCATACTGATATGCATTCATAAGAAAATGCATACAGCTGTCATCAATTCATTCCTGTGCCCTTTTGTGGCCCTTCATTATGATTCCTAAGCTTGACGCAGTCTTAAGCATTATAAAATATGCATTAGCTCATTCCATCCTGCTCTTTATTTAGCATGGCATTAGAGTGCTACTTTTTCATCTTGAAATGACACTGATAGCATGAAACTGAAGAGAGGCTGATCCAGAAAAAATACCTGCATATGAAGCTGAAATAACCAAAAGCTGAACACAAGCAATTGAACAGGGTCTGTTTATATAACCATGCTTGCCTGAACTACAGTACCCATCAGTCCAAAGCCCACCTGTTTAAGCCACATTTGGATCTGTTTGGGGTGATATAACTGCCATCGGCAAGGGGACAAACAAGATGCTACAACAGCTCAAATTCCTGACAGTTTTGTGGACATTAAAACCTTTCACTTGCAAAGACACGCTTTGGGTCTGTACCAAATCTAATGATATTATGCTATATTCATACATGGGTAACAGCTGTTCAGTTTGAAAACGCAATTATCCTCCTGCTACTTCCACAGTCTAGCAGATTTTCTCCTCCCTCCACCTCCACACTTGCACCTGACTTACATTTGTTTTTCTTTCTGCTCTTACTCTGACACTTCTGCATTAGCATCAACTTCTTTTATAACTGTACTTGGTATACATAACTTTGAAGAGCTCCCCTTTTAGCTCTTTTGCACCAGTGGATGCTATTTTTCCTTGCACTTTTTTTTCATTCTAAAAACATTAAGTCACTTGGAAATTCATAGTACGATCTCTTCCTTTCTACTTGTGTGTACCTTAGGTTTTTATGTTCCATATTTCCTTCTGAATTGCAAGAACAGGATGTTGAGTGGAACCCTATTTGTAAGTCATAAAATAAATGCCCATTCCCAAGGCTAAGGACATAAAAAAGTTTCTATTACCTCTAGATTCATGGAATTCTAGTGTAACATGTGCATCGAATCCAAGGCTGAAGTAATTATTGAAGACACTGAGAGGAAGCTGTAATCAGATAAAAAAAAGATATATAAAAATAACATGAATTAAACATTCCGTGACACATGAGGAATTAACTACTTTAAGCCTGGCATCTCATGAAAACCTACAAAGAAGAAAGTGGAACATATCAGGGAAACGTATGCAGAAGGCTGCTCTGAAGGTTAGTAACGGCTTGTGGAAGAGGATCACATACAGAAACCCAAAGAACACACAGTGCTTTATGATCATATATGTATCTCTGTAAACCCATCAAAGGATTCCTTATGTTGTTATTGAGGTTTCCCATAATGCTGCTCCACTTAACATGTCAATACAAAGGTTTTCCTAATTGCTGGCACTTCAAACTCAGCATGTCTAATGAAACTCAAGCCACGTTCTTCCTGCCCCTATGTAACTAGGAGCAACACAAGTCCCAGACAAGAAGCCCTTATCCTATTCAGGATGCATGGGGCAGGGAAGCACATATCTGCCCCCTTCATCATTACACATGCCCAGCAGGGCTACAGAGAGAGAACAGTAGCATCTGATAGATAAGCTGGAAATTACAACTTAAGAGGAAAATGGTTCACAGAATAATATTTTATGATCCTAACACTTTCAACAGCTCCAGTCCAAATGACACGCTACTATAAATGTGACCACCACGCAATTTTCCCAGTCTTCAACTATCAAGATACACTAGTGGAATAAAATTCTACATCCTTTGTCTGATTTAGGGATGGGTGGTAGTCACACAGTTGCATCTCCTGCCACCCCAGGTAAACCAGAGAAAAAACAATGACCTTTCAGATAAAATGCTAGGAATTATTTTCCAGGATTTAATTCTTGAGATAAATGCTCAATGGCTGGGAGCTTAAGACAACAAATGGATGGTTGATGTAAACTATATTTTGCTCACCTCTGGAAGGACTGACACATGAGAACTGCAAAAGGAAGAGATTCAACTAGAGAATTAAAAAGTTTAAGAGCTTCCCCATACATGCAGCTTACAGCGTAACCAAAAGATGTTCTCAAGCATCCTACAAACTCTGTGGGAAAAAGGAGGTGCTAACCTTGCGTGCCCCATCCTCCAGCTCATCCTGTGGCAAATCTGGGTTGCGCTCAACCTGAAGATTCCAGCGGTCCAGCTGGACAATGGTCCCATCTTCTACATGGCACAGGATCTTGGACACTGGCTCATCTGTATAACCCTAACAGCAGAGTATCAGCCATGGAGAGTGAAAGCAAAGAAAGTCACTCACCAATTACCTCCCTCTTTCACACAGGCCTAAAACACCAGACCAAACGTTCCTAAGAGCTTCTCAAAATATTGCTAAATTTTGATATACCAAGTGTTTTAACAAGCTGCTGCCTGGGTACACAAGTCTTGGGCAGGCAAAGCAAGGTTATAAGGAGAGGAATTCAAAGTGTACTTGTCATGACTGCAATACTTCCAGTCATGTAGTTAAGGATAAATACAGAGAAATAAAATGTAAACTATATTTAAATTAGAAGCCTGCATATCCTCCTCATTACTTGGCCTGAAATATCAGACAGATACATCTATGTACCACATTCATTACAGCAAATAGGTCATTAGTAATTCAAGATCCCAGACTGGAAACTGAACCAAACCATTGTGCTTAATTGAAGCAGATCCTGAGCACAGCACTGCCTGCTCTTTAGTGAAAATGAAGTTCCACCCTACACAACTCAACCAGAGCAGCAAGTTCATAGCCCACGTATAAGGGTACCCCAGTCAGCACTTACCCCACCCCAGTTGAGAGTGCGGGCAAGGTCATTCCCAGTGCCAAGTGGAAGGACAGCCACAGGAGGTGGGGGGCTGAGTTGTAGCTCATCGAGGATGGAGAGGATCCAGCCTACCTATAAAATGGGAAATGCAGAGGGCCATTAGTCAGGAAGATTAAAAGGGATGGAAGCGAGGGGGGAAAAAAAAAGGAAAAAGGAAAAAGAAAAAGAGAGACATAATCTGACGGCACCTCCTTTACAAAGATGATCAATTAAAATGAAAGGGAAAGGGGAAAATTACAATATCTGAAATTTAACTCCACAACTGCCCCATCCGAGGTTTCAATTTTTGGACAAAGGCACAGCAGTTTTCATGAAGCCCCTGTGCAAGCAGAAGCAATGGGATGTAGCCATCTTTAGCAGCACACAGAGATACTGAGGAAAGGGAGCACATAAGTTGCTTTTCTTAAGCAGGAAATGAAAACACACAGAATTACACCTAGTATCATAAGGCTGCCTAATTACTGCTCTGAAAAATACTGTATGTAAAAATGAGTGAAAGATAATATGGAGAATTCAATATAATTTTTTAAATTGCCATTCTGCCGAGGAAAACTAAACCTTTGACAATTGTTAAGAAAGAAAATGCGAGGCACACTGAAAATGGCATGGCATCAGAGAACGTGTCCTGGAATAGAGGGTCCAAACGAAGTCAAGCATGGACCTGCCCACAGGTGTCCCATTCCCCAAACAATAGACCTTAATGATGAATTATATGACTCAGTGCAAAGTACTTTTTATATATATATATTCTTGCCATATGTATGCACCCGTATATATAAAATAAAAGACTAAAAAGCTGGAATAATAGAGAAAAATCTAATCCTCAAGGTTGATGGCTTTGGGTTGGAATAATGAATCCGGCCCTTTTGTATCACAAGCTATTAGTTATTTTAGAGAGCTGTTTCTCTCTCCTGACCCTTTTCTGGACTACACAAAATTTTCAAATAGAAATCTAGCCAGAAGGAACAAATTACTGTAAAATATTTCGGTTTCATTAAATTCCAAGAGGGGAAAGAATTGTTGCTGAAGATGTTATCAAACCTTTTATGACTAAAATTCTTGCTACAAGAAAATAAGACTATTTCATAAACTATTTCTCACCTTTAAAAGTCAATTACAAACTGTGAAAGAACCTGTGCTGCAATTTTAAATGAAGAATTAAGAAAAAAATAAACATAAAATGATAAAATCTATTTTTTTTCCTGATGCCAGTGTTCAAAGGTGCAGTCCCTATTACAAAAGATTTGAAATACAATTTCAAATAGATTCTTAACCCAAACTGGAATGGCCTTCACAAAAGGCATCCAGCCTAACATGGACATCGGGAATAACAGCTCAAATTTGAACTACATCAGATGGGGTAGCCTGATGGGTGCAGCAACCACCACAGTACCCAGTATTTTAGGACTGATCTTTCTACAAGTCTCTTGATGGAAAAATTTAATGTTGTATAAATAGCATTTATGAGACAGATATTTAATTATACTTATTGTCTAATTATTAAAACATTCATCTGAAATGTGATCTCATATTAGAGCTCATTGTCTGATAATAGTCATCTGAATTACAACTCATGAACTTGGATATTACCAAAAGGTACTTAAGCCTATCACAGGCCTCATAGTAGGACTAAGTCCTTAAGGGATTTTCAGAAGTAAGTAATCCTCTACCTTTCAAAATAATCTATCCTTCAGTATTAACAATGGGAGACAGAATAGAGTCTCAGCAGCTTCACCAAGGCCAGGACTTCCTGAAGAGTCCTTTGTCATTAGCTCTTTGTCATTGCCACTGACTTAATCCATACATCTGTGTGTGCCTCAGCCTCCCACTGGTACAGGTATCGTTATAATACCTACAATTTCTGTAAATGCTCTTAACTGATAAGCAGAAAATTCAGATTACTAATTTATAAGTACAACATTGCTATTTTACATGAGGTCATTTCTAAACCTTGCACACTGGTTTTCAATCACAGATGACATAGACTATCATTTGCCTGTAAACAGAAAGTTCCTGATTGATGTGAAAGCAAAGCTTTTCACTTATGCTGTCGAAAGGAAGAGCAAGCAGCTAATATGGAAAATATATGATAAGTTCTGGTTCACCTTAATATTGCAAGGTAACATCTGGTCTCACTGAATATTCATTAAGTCTATCTGAGCCAGATTTTTCATTTCTAGATGTAATGTCTTTGGGAATAACTAGATACTAATTTGCTTCAAACTGAGCGGCGGCAGAGGTAACGGTTGAGTGCTGGTTATACTACTGAGAAGGTGCTGCCACCTGTCGCTCATTCTGCTGAAAGGGAAAACAGGATGGTCAGATTCAGTGTAGTTGCATTAATTTCATTATTTTCATTTTCAAAATACATTTATATATTTTTTTTTCCTATTAAAATATTGGCTTTATCAGATGGAAGAAAAAGACTTTCAGAAACGGATTGAAACACTTACTTGCTCTTATGTCTCCTGCTAAAGCAATGCTTTGCACGTTTCCCAAGGAAAGGTCACAATTCAGTAACATCTTATTTTCCCCGGTACCAGCAAGACAGTAATGTAATCATGGGGGTCTTTATTCACTCTTGCAGGGGAAACAGTGGTATGAATAACTCCTACAGCTGGGGGTTTAAAAGAAGCTAAGCAGAAACTATCCCCAGGAATTCAAGCAGAGATGGGCCAATGTTAGCTGTTCAGCTCTCTACAAACAACAGTTAAAAAATCCTCCCAGTGCTGTAAACATCTACCTATTGCCATCCTGGCCAGTCATTGCACCTTGCAAGCAGCAATGCATTTTCCTTACCATACTTACCATTATAGCTGTCATCTAACACATGTTTGAGAAAATGAGCTTCACAGAGATTAAAGGACAGTTTTCATATGCATTTAAGTACTCAGTGGCACAGACAGATTTACAAAGAGTAATGCTGTTATAATACCTCCATTACCACTCATGGCCTCCAGACCCTGTCTGCAACTGAAGGGGACTAAATCCTTTAAAGTTCTGACCCTATTTGCTTATCCAAGAACATGCAGGAATTCAGTAACAAATTAAAATACTGAATCTGGATCTTCCGGATCCCAGTCCAGTAGCATGACCAACATCCTCACAGACGCATTGTAAAGAGAGTGGAAAACTCACTTTCTTTAGGTACAGAGAATTATTTGACTGTACTCATGCATCATGGAGACTGTAACAGGAAGGAGCAGAAATTAAGATTCAATGCTTCCAAAAACTGACTTTACCTGCTAGCCCTCAGATCTTGTAAATAGTGAGAGGAAGCCAGCAAAGTTAGCCCTTATTTTCTTAAGCTGAACAGAATCTTCGTGCATAAAACAGGACTTCGAACATTAGGATCTGTCCCCTTCACTACACAGGTCAGGCCACACAGCAAATTTAAAAAGAAAAAAGTAGATTTCACAAACACGTGTTCTCTGGCTCTGCAGGCATCACAAGGTGGGAAACCCACAACTGCAAATGGCAAGGTATTTAATCACTTGGCTGATGACCACAGCGCTGCCAAGTGCTGGCCACCTACCGTCCCATCCCCACCGCAGGCCAGGATCCGCAGGTTTGGCACTTTTCTGTACAGCTCCAGCCTAGCCAGAGGAAGGAAAAAGGAAAAAAAGTCAGAACCATGAGGCAGGCACTTTTTTATGCATTTTGTGGAGTGACAGTTTAACTCACACTTAGTGCATTTTCAAATATTCTTTGCTAAGGATATGTATGGAGGCAGAAAAGTAAAATAATTAATAATTTAAAAAAACAACAAACAAAACCAATCTCAGCATTACAAAAAAATCTTGGCAGTGAGGAGACATCAGCAGGCAGCATAAGCACCAACCCAGCCTGAGCCCTGTGACTCACTTCACATCTTTACACACCCACAAAACCACGAGGACATGAAACCATGAGGCGCCCTCCTCCATGGTTAGGCAGCACCTCCTGAGAAGTATTGGCTCAGTTTAGCATGTCCCCATGCTAAACCTGAAAGGCCACATTCTCATGTTCCCTCTGGAGATGACAAAATCTTTCATTTTTCTTATCCTAAAGCAAACAAATACAGACATTGAGGTTTTTAAACAAAATTTAGTGTTCCTCATCAGGATTTGCTCAGCCACCATTTCTGAAGCATGCAGAACACGGCAGCTTCTTCAACTAGTAGGGTTTTTTTGAGGGGTGTTTTTGTTTCTGTTTTTTAACATCAGAGAAGGCAAGTACATCTAACAGAGGTTTCTCTGGATAGCTGATCTAAGATACCAACGAGAGAGTCAAAACAGCATCCGCGGAAGACATGTTCCTTCAGTTGCGTGAAAGAGAGGCTTAATGAAACATCTTCTAATGGAGGTGGCCCATTCAAATGTAGAGAGCTGAGTGACCAGATAACCTAATCCTCCTTTAATTCTATTATACAGCTCTGAAAACTCTATGTCTACCTTAAAACTTCTATACATCACGAAAGGAGCAGTAGTGGAGGTGTTTCTACAGTAATAAAAAACTTGAGTGTCTTGAATAGCAAATACTTGGACGTCTCGCATAAGCCACCACTGCAGCCCTCTTCCCCACTACCAAAACATGGATACACAAACCTCATACACAGTCTACTGGTCTACCTAAGCTAGACCTTTGCTCTTCTGATTAGAAAAGAATTATGGTCAGCAGTAGTGAAGGCTCAAGAACTTACGCATCTCTTGGCCCTTCCTGAGAGAGATCAAAGACCTGGCGTGGATTCAAATACCACATAAACATTTGGAGAACCTTTGTGCCCTGGGAAGAGAGGAAAATCAAAGGAAGGGAAATTGTGAATAGTTTCATGATTATTAGAAATAACAGTGTTCAGTATCCACTATATTTGTATTGCTTTTCTTTTTTTCAGCATTTTATAAAGCAACCATAGCCTAAAAAAAACCACCAAAGCTAGAAAGCAGCATAGCAGACAGCTGCTCTATAAAATAGCAGCCCACCAATCTGGGTAGGGTGCACATGCCTACATATTAACTAAATTTAACAACACATATCACTAATGGTTTATAAGAACAAGTATTTGGAGTCAGACCAAAGGTTCAGTTCTCACAGCAACCTTTTCTCCTGCCTCTCACCACCTGCAACAAGAAACCTTTGTTATCCCACACCACCTTTAGCCATCCATGACAGCAAGATGTTGAACAAGCTTGTGGGCAAAATCACCATCACATTGAGCAGTGTCCTGCCCAGCATCCAAGCAATGAGACTGCTTTGACCTCCACCACCACTATGAACACTCATAACTGTAGCCCTTTACCATCTAATGAAGCAGGAGTCAAGTACTCTATGGGGCTACAGCTGCCCCAATGCTCCCCCACTCAGTGTAATGCGAAAAGCCTATTACCTAAAGATCTAATTTCTGCTTTCTCCAACTCTTGGGTTCATATTTCAGACACTCAATTTCTTTCCTTCATGTTCTGCCCAGACACAAAGTGGCAGGATTTCTCTCTAGCAGAAGAGGACCAAGAACTCTATGGGGGTTCAGACATGGCCTGGGGGTGCAAGTAAGGAATTTTCAATAGCTTGCCCTCCAGAAGAATGGTGCTTCTATCCAACACCTTCACCTAAGTGGAGAATCAAGAATAGCAGTCAAAATGCCTAGGAAAATGTATAAGGACAGAGAAAATGAATGTGATGTTTGCTGTAGGTATTTTCCCAACCTCAGATACTTACAGTCCAGGGCTTTAGGAACCTTCAGGGTTTTCTCTTCCAAACCTCTCCTTCAGTCTATCTAAACTTTTAGAACACCCTATTGCAAGGAGGTTTTGTAGATGAACTACACACTTTGAGAAGGACTAACTTGTTTCTTTGTTTTGAATCACAGTCTTCACACTTTCATTTGATATCCTCCCTAATTCTTCTAACAGAGGAGAAAATGAGCAGTGGCTATGCTAACTTACATGTTCTACAAGCCTTTATTATACCTCAATCTTTTCAACTAGGAGGCTCTGTTTATCAAAAAGTACTCAGATTATTCAAAATTCAAAACATGGCAGGGCTAAGCTTCAAAATAGTCACTTGGGTAAGGTTTAATTCCAAGAACCTTAAGAAAGAAATCTGCTGCATTTTAGTTACTGAAACTTGGTTCCCTATGTTACAAGAGCAGTAATGATTTTTTTTTTAAATGTTGTAAGAACATGGCATTTCACATTCATTAATTTCATAAGGCTTTCCTAGTAAAATTAAATCACTTTTTAGATAAAAGTCTAAGACTTTATTGGCAACATAAATTTTCTGTAGAAAGATGAAGTCCTCTGAAAACCTCTGAACTACTAGTTTAGATTCCTTTCAACAATCTGAAGATAGGAACACATCTCCTCAAATACCCAAGTATCCATTCCATTTCCATGAAGCAGAAAGAGCATTAAACAAGGACCTCTTCTGGAGACTGCACAGTTTTTCCTACCTGACTGACCAGAAACTGGTCTTATTTACAATGAGTTGTTAAACAAAAACTTTGTGACCTGGATCCAGATGATGCTCTTACCTGATTCCCTCCACTTTTTGGATTGACAAAAACCAGCAGTGGCTTCATGAGCGGAGAGGAGATAGGCTTTATCACAAATGGCCGACCTTTGTTATCCTGAGAAACAGACACAAGCAACAGCTTTAGTATAAGCTATAAGTCTCCTTTAGTATAAGCTAAGTCTCCTGCACATAACATGTGCGGGAGACCTAACAGAGCTCTGACAAAGCTACCTCAGGTACTGGAAATAGTACAGTCATGTTAATGTGATGCACAGCTGGGACTAATTTATTTAGCTGGGACAACTGAGTAAGAACAGAAAAGGGGGAAAACATCTTTTCAACCCAGCCCAAAACTATTTTAAGATTTACACAATGTTATTTAAAAAAAAAAAACAACAATAATTCACACAGCACTAATGTACAAGATAAAGCCCTATTTCTAATACAAAAAAAAAAAAATTTCCAATGGGAAACAGAATAAGCTACTTATTTCATTAACTCCAAGTAACAGACAGGTTCTATCAGCATTTATCTGCAGATGATCTGCTCTTGAATTCTTGGCCTTACTGCCCTCCCATCTTTGAATAAATGCCACATGAAATGAGAAAACTATTTGCCTCCATACACCTGCAGGACACAAGAGAGCCCTGTAGTGAGGGCTTTCTTGTGGGATGTGGCAGACACAGATTTAAGTTTCTGGTCTGCAGTTCTCCCATGATCCAAGTGAGAACCTTAACCAGAGAGCCCTCTCTATACAGAGGTGAGTCTCTCTCTACCTCTCCCATGCAGCTGTTTATCTATGTAACTAATCCACTAAGTAGTTTCTGGAAACAAAGTCTCCTATAGGCTATATGGTAAATCACACCATCATATTATTCATCTGTTTACTCCCTCTCTGTAACCCAATGTCAATTTTCACACAAACAGAATATTTCCAATATGTGATCTCTTGAGGGAGACATCTTCAAACTGGACCAGACCCTTGCATCAGTGCACTCACCATGGATTTCATAATCCCAGTTTCACACCCCTGCTCTGCCTAGTGGAAAGCCAGGGTCTGAGCTGCGTCTCTTACATCCCAAGAGAATGCCATTTCATTACACTGCTGGTCCTTCTGGAGTCTGAGTTATTGTTTCTTGAAAATTCTCATACAGGTTTTATCAAGACTGACCTCTTCTCACAACTAATAAAATTGTGTAGATTTTTCCAGTGGAAAAAAAACTCTATCAAAAAAATAGACTTGAACATCTGCATTTTGGCACTTAAACAAAAGGAGCCTGATTTCCAAAGCACTTGAATACCTACTTCATTGCCTCTTTTGCTGGCTTTCCTTTTAAAGGATGTTCTCTTCTTTCGCCGTGTTGAAGTCTTTAATGAGTTCTACATCAAAAGAAAAAAGAATACATGAAAAGCAAAACAAAATTTAGAAGACAGGCCCAGACAGAGCCCCTTTACGAAGCTCTTCCATGCATGTCCACTTGGAGAATGATAAGAGTATCTGGCACATGCTCGAGATTTAAATTACATGCGCTGCATGCTTTACACTTCCACACCACCGTTTATGAAGAAAGCCACACACGGAGACCAGACTGGTGCTTTGGAACTGGAAACTTTCCCACGCTGTGAGGGGGGAAAAAGATCAGATGCTCCCATAGACTCACATAACACCACATGTTGTACCTGCCAACCCTCCCAATAGGGGTAGGAGACGCCCGTTTCCCCTTCGGGGCTCCAGTCTCCTGCCCAATCAGGCTCGTCTCCTGGTATGGAGACCACCTGCATAAAGATGTAATAAAAAACATGATAAATGAGATATTTTTCATGTTTTTTTCAGGAAAGAAAACAACAAGTTTTAGCTCTGGCAACCACTATGACTCAACATAACATAGGCCACCATGGCGTATGATGCTGGCACTGTGGACTCAGTTCCAGCCTATCAAGAAACTTGTGTAATCATCTGCTAAGGAACAAACTGAGTTGTTAACTTTAAAAGAGTTGGGTGAGGGAGGTGTTTGTGGGGGTTTTGTTTGTTTTGTTTTTAAATAACCGTATCACTTAACTACACAGAGAGTGGAAGGTGGGGGGAGACACACAGACCATAACACTGCTTGTATTTTTGCAGAACCTATTAAAATAGATCTTGTATCAAAGCTATTCTCCAGGCTGGCAATAGCCTGCTCAATGATACTGAACCAGAAAGTGTTCTGGTGTGATAAAAACAGTCCAAAGAGGGTAATTTTATTCTTATTTTTTAAATCATTTTAATTCAGTAACTGAAGCCATACCTGCAGGAAATCTTAACCCTTTTCATATGATTGAAATTTTAATTATAGGAAATACTGTAAATATTTTCTCAGTATTTCAACGTCTAGTCTAGGCATCACCAGGAAATAAAGTAACACAAGGAGTGAGAAGAAAGTTTATTGATTTTTTTTTTCTGGCTTCAAGAAGGGAAGCAAGATCCACCCAGCTCATCCAAAAGTTCATTTCTGTCCTGACCCTTTACAAAACTATACCATTAATGAAAAAGGTCAATGACCAGAGATGATCAAATCTGTAAGCAGTGACATCTGTTCTTAAGCCTGCTTCCTAACCAACATTAACAAGAATACCTTCTATATTCTACTTAATATGTAACAACCACTTTCAGAATTTCAAGACTTCAACACAATACACCAGATACAGAAGTTAATGTTTCCATATCTCTGAGAAGTTAAGAAAAAATAACAGCTATCTAACTTAGGCACTGTCCTTTTTCACATAGATCAAGAAAAGCCTGCTGTAGAGTGCAAGGTCCCATGCTTTTTATCACCTCTCAAAATTCTTTGTGGACCAGGGTATAGTCAGGCCTTGTTGCTTACTGAAACTACTGAAGACAAGATAGCTTGCAGAGCAATTACATGGCATTTGTCCTTTTAGATCATATTTTGAGAAAACACCTAAAGAAGTATCTGTACTCCACTCAAAGTGATCTTGAAAGCATGATAAACCACAAAGACTGCATTGACAATATCATCTGCATAATCTGTCATTGTCCTACCTCAGTAATCTAATCATTTGTAGACAAAAGTCTTTATGACAATAGAAACACTGGGACATTACACTCAAAGCTGCTTCCTTTGGGTGTCTTAGCCCAGTTCCTCAGGTGTTCTCTGGTGAAGGGGTCTCCCTGGAGTGGCACAAAACACATGACAAAGAGGTAGATCTAGTCTAATCACAGTCTTGCCAACAGTCTGCTGAAAGGTCACAGGCATACGAAGCCTTTTCCCTATGCTCCAGTCCCTTCAGGTGTAAAATTCAAAATACTTATCCTGTTGGTAAAGTGCAGTGAATTTTGTTGGAAAATATTAATCTGTAGCTCCAGTTAGTATCATACTAAGCAAATACTTAACCCTGCCTCTGGAAGGACTGTGTTTGTTATTCTATTTCCACAATGGATGCACCTAAGCCCAGTGAAGGTCTTCTGGAAAGGGCAAAGATAGTTTAGTAAAATCCTGACTAATTTTAAAGAACAGAGAATATTTAAATGGAGTCTTCATTAAATCCCATTATAACATATCTTTTCTCTTGCCTATGTGTGGGGCAGGAAGAGGCATAAAGCTATCTTAGTGAAACAGTTTTAGTCTAAGCTTTCATTCATCATTATCTCAATCTTCATTTCTGCACTCAAAATGGCACTAAAGTATGCTATGTCACAACTATGTTATTTCACTTCTTTAAAAAAAAAAAAATCCAATTTTAATCTAGTGTTAAGAGAACCTAAAACTTTGCTACAGTGATTGCAACTGCATGTCCATAGCAGATGAAAGGTGAAAAAACCTGATTAAAACATATGCAGGTTCTCTTGCAAACATGCAGAAGAATAACAGGCAAGAGTAATCATCAGCCTTTGCACACTGAAGAAATGAATGCATACTCCCTTGTCCACATAACAAGGCGATGAGCATTTTGTGAATGTATAATGTTATTCAGCAAAGTACCCGATAGCAAAGCATACCTTTAAATGGGCACCATATGCAAATCCTAACTTGCCTCTAGAGAGGAAACCTCTCCTTTGTGGATGTCAGTTTGGCCATCTTCAAAAAGAGATTTTTGGTATTATTGAATGGTCAGTATAGGTCTCAGCAAGCTTAGCCAGATGAACAGAATTGAAGTCCTTGTACGGTGCTGGGTGGTGTGAGGGCCACAGACTACCTCAAGCAAATCCTATGGATCCTTTCAACCTTTTCATTTACAAAAATTCAGCCTTCATTTTCAAACACTTTTAGCATGCTGGGCTTCACATGACTTCAAGCAAAGAACAGCCTCTGGGAAGGTAAATCTTGACAGTCTTCTGGTTGTTCACAAACCACCATAGGACAAGGCAACTGCACTAATCAATTGATAAAATAAAGAAATAAACCTGGAAATATAAATATTTACTAACACTTTTTCAAGGTCCTCAAAAGAGGAGAAGAAAACACCATGCTTACCTTGAAGAGAAAAACTTTGAGTTTTACAGTTACTGCCTTTGCCTTCCCAAACAGAAGGCAGGCTGAATCAGTAAATACGTCAGCCAAATCCTCTATATTATTGTTTAATAATTACTTTTCTCCCACAGTGCAAGCATATAGCAAATTCATTCCCAGACCTAAGACCACTGGGGCTACCAAACCTCGCCTTAAAAACAATACCACCAATCAACAGGGGTGACCTGCTTTCATGAACTACAAAATAGAATTGATTTGAACCCCAGGAAACCAGAACTGGTATCAAAGTGCTGCTAATGCAGTACAGAAACAGTGGAAATCAGTAAAGAAGTTACAGAAGTGGCTTACAATATGAATGACATGGTATTGGGAGTTTTCTATTCATGTACATGGCTCATTATACACAGGGCTACCACCGATTCCAAGGCTGTTTGAATCATTCTGAATATTTATCTTGCAATTAATTGCTTGCAAGAAGCAAAAGCTCCCCATTTAGAATATAGATTGTCAGTAGAGATTTGTCCTTAACCAATTACACCATGATGCTTCACTATCACAATGTTGCTGGTAATGAGAAGGGGAGTATGCTCTTCATTCAAGTCCAATATTTGAAAGGTAGTGAGCCACATTGTATAAAATAAGCATGGAAACCCATTTTTGTAGCAAGAAAAAGAAAAATTTAAATTAAAAGTCAGGCCAGGGTTTTGCTACAAAAAGCCATCTTATTTGCTTGAAAGAAACAACCAACACACAGGATGAAGGCATCACTAAAATCAATTTCATATGAGTAGGGAATTCAGTCCAGGAGTTGCCTGTGACCAATGTAAGTAGTTAATTAGAGCTGAGGAAATATTTTATAATGATATGCTTCTAGCCAAATTTATTCCAATTGTGGAACATATGAAAAACAGTTTGCTGCTTAAACATTTATTTACTAATTGAATTTACAAAAATTTGCGAATACTGTGTTTGTATTTTGTGAATTGAATGCAGTGAATATTTCATAGCATCTAACAAATATTCATACAGGGTGAAGAGGGTCATAATACACAGAAGGAGAGCTGGCCAGAAATAGCAGGAGAGGAGAAAATATTTCTTAAAAAAATTAATAAATAAGTAAACAAGACTTCTGCCAAAAATCTGAAAACACGTTTGAAAGATGCATCAGTATTTTCGACAGCAATAAGAATGCATACCCCAGAACTAATATTGCAATGGGTACTGTTAAGAAGTTTCATGGCAGTATGCCCATTGTCTGTGCTAAATACCATTTTGATCCATCTAATGCTTCAATTACTCAAGGTAAGATTTTTGCATGCTACTAACTGTGAATTTCTAGGACTTGAGATGTGATGAAGAGGGACTAAAGTACTTCCTTCTCTCCTTATGACTCAGGCACACAATTCTAATAGATATATTATTTTAGTGTAACATTTTAAAACTTTATTTAAAAGCATTTTTCCCATGAATCATAACTAATTAGATCATATTTATTTTCTTATTTGAACTTCTGTGAAAAAAACAACGGACAAGAAAGAAAAGTCTCTGTAAATAGTATAAGGAAGATACCCTGCTTTGGCCAAATGCCAAATCAAAAGAAAATTACAAGTGTCAAAGTTTTTTTTGTTTGTTTTTTAATTTTTGGTAAAAATTAAATAGAAGTAAAATTTAAAAGATCAAAGAAAGGCTACTATTAGTAAGGTCAGATATGGCTACAGCTATCAGATACCACACAGATGCTGAAAATTAGCCAAGGAGTTTAAGTCCCTGCCAAGAACTCGTACAGATTCTTCAACAACAGAGGAAAAAAGATGCCTCTGGAGGAGGCTGGAGTAAAACTAACAAAGAAAGAAGAGCGTGGGGAATATATACAAGTGCTAAAGAAACCTTTTTTCTTGGCGTGGAGGTTTCTAGGAATCTTGCCTGCTCTCTCTGGCTCTAAAGAAGTAATAGTGGCCTACTTTTTGATTATACTGTATATATACTTCCACTTCCTTTCTCTTCTCCCCCCCTCATCTTTAATATCCAGCTTGTTAGAAATGCTACTCATGCACAAATCTGACAGCCATATCCCTAAACTGAAAATAAAAACTGAGCAGTGTCACAACTTAAGACCTTTTTCCATTTTCATTGGATTAATTTTGTCATAATGCCTTGCCTACAGCCTGAACTTCTCAGCTTCTTGTTGACAAGCAGGACACACAGCCAGAAAGCCCTGGGTCATTTCCCAAGGATGGATGCACTGACATTAAGAACCCCACAACATTACTCTATAAAACCAGCATTCCTGTCAATGGAGGAAAATTACAAGAAAGCATGGGTGGGAAACTTCAGTATCCCAGACACTTCATTTCAGAAATAAAAAAGCTTGTTTCAGTGCTTTTGAAATAAAACTTTTACCAGCATTTCTGACTCCCTGTTAAGTTCACTGCTTGTTTTTTAGTTGAGACTGTAGTGAAAACAGACTTTTAAACGGGGATTAAAAAAATAATACTTCTCACATGATGTGAATCCCCTTTTAATTTTTGGCCAGCTCTCTTTTGGATTCCTTTTTTCCCTATTGTGCTCACCACTGAATTATATTCTCAATTATATCCATTGCAAAAGCTTTGAAGTCTAATGTTCATTACCTGCAATTAAACGATCACATGGGCTTACTGTTGACTTTCAGCAAGCACTGATGTAAATAAGAGATGATTGTTTAAATGTCCATTGATGGCAAATTCAGAGTGATGCGAGTTCAGCCACAGCCAATTCTTACTGCAGTTCAAGTCAATGTTTGTGAACAGTTTCTCCCTGTATTTGCTCAGCTCTATTTAATGAAACATGCTGGACTGCCTACAACACACGGGATTTTCTTGCAATATGCTCACTGAACTCAGTTACAGAAACAAATCTGAGCTGGATTTGCTCAGAACAAAAGTCATGTTTGTTGCTAATCATCCCAAACAGGGAAATCTACTGAAGGGCTGAATGGAGGGGCAGGAGGATACAGGTTCATAATCACCATGGATGTATGCTGGGTTTCAGGGTTGAACAAGCATGCCTTAGTGAGGGAATACTGAGCAGCGAAGCCAGATTGGCCCTGCACAGCCATACAGCTTCAGAAACAGACATCAGCATGCAGTTACCTGAGGTTTCTTCACCTTAATGATCCAGGTGGGAGGCACAATGACAGCAGCGTGAGCCCCCAGGGAACATGGCTCCTCAATGTGATGTAGCATGAAACAGGTGACTTTGTTATGAAACTGGAAGAGGAGAAAAGAGTAGAGTGGATAAGAAGGCCAGGAAAGACAAAGAGGAAAGAAGAGGGTGGTAGTACAAAAACTGGAGCAACATTCCCAATTCTACCACCTTCAAGCCCTTCACACTGTGGAGCTTTAGGAACATATAATTAAAGATCATCTTCCTTAAAGGCATCTTCCCATACCTTCTTACAAAAAAATCACTCCTACTTAAACACAGATCAAAGATTGAAGATCACAAGCTAGTCTAATGCAGCTGCATGAGCTAACAGTGGCAGAGCACTGATGTGAGGTAACCAGCAACTATGTTGTGCAGAAAGACTCTTCTAGGGAACCTGTGTCAGCCAGGTGATGCTATGGTGTCTTCCAGGGAAAGAAACAGAAACAGCAAAACTGGGGGTGATACAGAGAGAGGGAACCCCGAGCCCCATGAAAACCAAAATTACTTGCAGTGTGGCTGCTCAGTGAAGCTGCTATCAGTCTCCCAGAGTACTGTTCACTTACCGCCAGCTTGCACCAGGAACAACTGATGGCCACAATCTCTTTACTATGGAAGGAGAATTTCTGCTGAAAGCCCTAGAATAAGCGGGAAAAAAAGGGATTAAATTCCTCCTGACTACAATAAAATTTACACCTTTAACCCTTGACAGGTGACTGTGCCAGGCTAAATCCATTCATCAGTCAGATACATTGGTTCATCCTTGAAGCTCTTAACCACCAAACAGATTTCTGGGGGATAAACAATGACAGGATTCATAGAGAAGGCTCTTCAACTGGTGCATTTTCACATACACTTTTAAAAACACTCCTCCAAAATTTCATGCTGCTTCTTAGATTTTACAGTTAAAAACAATGGAAGAAATAGAGAAGGAATGCTCATTGTAATGGATTTATGCAGACCTGATAGATGCAGATTTTCTGTTGAACAAAACATTCTCTCACTGCAGACTTTGCTCTAAATAGAAACAAGAATTTGGTTTTGTTGGTGGGTTTGGGGGTTTGATTTTTTTGGCGTTTTTTTTAACTACAGGGTGGAATCAACTACAAAGTCTGTGTGGAAACACTCTGATTGGGAAATTAAATTTATTGTATTATTGAGCTGACTCAGACCAAAATCTTTTTAGTAAGTTCCAAAAAAAACAAGATGGTCCAATTCTGATCAAACAGATAAAATATTTCTTTATAGTTTTAAAAAGAAGAAAGTCCATCATTACCAGCAGATGTGAGATTTTATTCCCCTACAGAAGAGTTTCATTTTGTAGAATGCAAATGCAATTTCAGCAGACATATCACTTCGCTCTAAATTCTAAAGCTGGAAAAGACCACTGGGTCATGAACACCCTTCTTGCATCCATCCCTGGCGGTGTTCAAGGCGAGGCTGGATGAAGCCTTGGGTGGCATGGTTTAGTGTGAGGTGTCCCTGCCCATGGCAGGGGGGTTGGAACTAGATGATCTTAAGGTCCTTTCCAACCCAAACTATTCTATGATTCTATGATATAACACAGACAAGAAATGGTAAGTTACAGCCTAAAAATTTGTGTTCAGTTAAAGCTTGTTTTAGCCAGAGAAAGAATTGAAAAGAAAATAATTTTAGCAAGAGGCAGAAAGTCCAGAGCTTCATGGAACATTTTGTCAGTCGCCTTCACTGCTTAGATTTCAGATTTGCAGTTGTCTGTATATGTTATTCATTAGCCTTTATCAAGACTCTCTATACTACAGCTTGCAGAGGGACCACACCAGCAACTAAGGCCTGTTCCTGACGAGGCTTGTGTCATCTCTGCCTAGACTTTTTCTATTTTTTTAAATCCTTCCCCTAATGCCTCAGGTTTTACATCCAGAGAAATTTAAAGAACAGATTCTTCACGACGATGTTGATTAGGCATATTCAGGTTTAGTAATAGGGCATGGTCAAATGGCTCCACAAAGACCAAATGTCCAGCTGCTTCTGGCCGGGCAGATCTAGTCTCCCATTAAGTGTGGACACAAGAACAGAGCAACAGTAAGTATGATATGAATGCTGGAACGGAGGTCTGACAGTGGACAAAATGGTCTATTCTCATTCATTTATCCTAGTGCTTCTTAACATTTCTCACAAATCTCACTCTTTGTCCCAAAGTATTTTAAGAAAAAATTATTTCAGCTCCTCATGGGAATGAAATGTTTTGATTTGTTCTGCCTTGTAACAACCAAGGGAGAAATTGTTCTCTCCCAAAACCTCCACTAATAAAAACCTTAAATTCAGTACATTAATTCCATGGCCCATCAGTTGTGTCTTTTAAACATATGGACTGAGCAGCTTGCCTGGTTCTGGATGGACCGTTTTTCATTTATTCAGTTAGCCATTTGGCTTTTAGAGAGTCATTAGAGAAAAACATATTAATGACAAGTAGCAATAAAACACCACTTTTCTTCCTCAAATTGCTTTACAAATGTAAGCTAATTCTTCCTAAGGATACATGTTTGAGGTAAGATAGCAATCATTTGAAAGCTAGCTTTACAAATAAAGGAACTAATTAAATAAAGCGATGCACTGCAGATCACAGTGAAATTTGATGCAGACCCCCCCATATTCCACCAAAAAGTATCTTTCCTGCCTTCTCTCCGTGAGAAGGAAGACAAAAATTCAGCTGTTTTGCTCCTGGGTCATGCAAGGAGGCCTTCTGCACAAAGTTAGAAATTTTAGGATAGAAAATTCTTTTCAACTTTGTGAGAAAAGCAACCTAACAGTACCTGATTAGCCCTGATTCACTGGCACCCAATTCCTGAACAACACATGAAATCCCGTGCTTTGAGCTGCTCCTGTATAAATATTCAGCGGTACATACCAGAGGAAACATATTTTGAGGAATCTGAATCTCTGTCTTGCATTGACAATTACATTTGCTTAAATAGCCAGGATCAAAGTCCACATTAATATAGACAGACACCCATGCACACAAACAGAGCACATAGGGATTACTAGCTCCAAGGTGGTTTGCTTATATTCTCAAATGTATGTATCTTTAAAGAGTATTTTCACATCAGTGTTAGGGCTACTAATATTTTTTTTGGCACATATTTCCCAATGATATTTATTCCCTTTTTAATGCTCTCAAAGATATTTCAATGTAACGTTACTGTAAGAGAGCCAGGTATTATTATAACTCAAATAAAGCCATGCAAGGATGTTGGGAAGCATTGATTCCTTAATTAATGTTTATGATTTGAAACATGAGATAGCTATATTCTAAATACTCTCTTTACTCAAATTATTATTAATGATCATTAAAATACTTAATATCCAGTTCCAGCTATGGGATAGGACTAATATTACACAATGAGACCTACCAAAATCACTAAGTATTCCATGGATAATGCTTTCTTTAACTGCTTTAAATTTACTGCCATTCCATAAAAATGATAGTTTTTTTCCCTTTGTCTTGCGTGACAAGAGAATATAAAAGATGGTTCTCACTCAGATGTGTACAAAATGTAACAGCAGAGCACAAGACAAGCAAGTATTTTGCTGTAATAGAAGACTGCTTAACCAATAAATATAATGAGATATTTTTTCTTGATGTTGTTTTCCTTAATCCTTTCTGTTTCTTGACAAAGAACGACTCTACTAAAGCACACCCATGTTAGTCTTAACTGAATATTTCTTATTTAAGGGGGAAACTGTGAACTTCTTCGTATGAGTCAAGGCTGATAGGAATTATAGGACATACTAGTCATGTTGCCCACGTGAATGTATCCAGCACAGGTTTTGATATGATAGCTAGTAAGTACTCCTATTGCAAAATCAACTAATGCCTCTAGGGCAGATCCAGGCCGAAATGGCAGAGGAGGAAGGCAATATCATTTCAAAGTCACACCACAAGAATGCTATACGCCAAGAGCCTTGCTGCACCTTTCCTATGCTAATGGCCACAAAAGGACATCATATTTTTAATGCATGCCTTGTTGCAGCTAGTAGCTGGTGATCTACATCAGTATCCAGATACAAATCTGATTTTCCTCTGACTTAAGTACTGTGCCATGGAGATGAGACACAGTCTAATTAGTTGGTGTTCAGAGGGAGGAAAAAGTATAATACAGTCCTAGAGAAAGGATATTAAAGCCCTGTGTTGGTTTTTTTAATTATCTCTCAAGAGATCTTAGGGATTCATAATATTTCAGAAGAAAGGTCTCCAGTAGGTAAGGTATTTCTTACCCCTTTTTATAGCTTTTTAGAAATAAACCTTTACAATGTATGCAGCAGAGGAAATGTGGAACAGTCTCACAAATCTTAGAGTCTGCCAGGGCAGAAAGAAAGCAACATCCTTTCTTTTTCCAAAAGCCTGAAAAAAATAAGACATCACAATTTTGGCACAGAAGAAAGCACTACAAGAACACCATATCGGCACAGGCTTAGCTTAATGAAGAAAGAAGCTCAAGGAGCCACAGCCTTCCTCCTCCTCATTTTCAGCAGCCAGTGAAGCAACATGTCCCAGGAACACAAGATGTGCTCATTCCTGCAGATGCAGCTGCCCTTTCTTCTCTCACATGGGAATCGGGGCTGTTCCCACACAACATATCAGGCTTGTCATCAGCCCTTAAAAGAGGCCAGGTGTTTGGGATAGAAGGATTTCAGTGACTAGAAGGACCTACTGGCCACCCTGAATTCATAAGTGCCCAGTGTTGTGTTTCATTGGAAATCTTACCTTTCCACACTGCTTACATTTCCCCTCCTGCCTCCGCCTGTGCACCCAGTGATGGCGGACAAAGTTCTACAAAAGAAGGACAAAAAGATGTGTTATAGGAATCAATGGCAGCTTGAACTTAGTGCTACCATCTGTGTGAAATTAGTTTACAGAAACAAAAGCAAAGCTCCCTTCAATCAATGCAATCATCTCTGGAGCAAAATTCAGCAGCCCCAATGGGAAACCCAGACACTGCCAAAACTGGAGGAGGAACAAGGATGAGATGGTGTTCTTTATCCGTATTGAAGTGTAGCCAGGATTACTCTCTTGGTGCTCTTCTACTAAAAGAAGGAAGTTCATCATATGATGTGAAGATAATCGTCACCTAAATGCAGAGAGCAGAAGTGACCAGCCACTGCCATGTTCAGCCACAACACAGGACCCCACACTTCTGCTTGGCAATACAACCTTGTAACACAAAAAAAATCACAAGTCAATGCAGGAGAAGGGAAGGAGGGGAAGAAGAAGCAGTCATTGAAGCAGTCTTTTCTCCATGTTTGGACTACTTACACCCAGAATGGCAGCAAGAGGTGCGCGAGAGACAGGAGGGTGAGCAGCACTGCTGTCCCCGCTGCTGTGGAGGCAAGGGAGTTAGAAGGGTTATGCTTGCGCCATGCTGTTATACCAGCCAACATTAAGTCATTGATGTGGAAGGGAATTTAGCTACCTCTGCTAACAGCCAGCTGGCCACCAAATCAACTATAAAATTTAAGAGATGTTTTTGAAACACTGGCTTCTAACTATGTAAGGCAAATATATAAATATAATAATAACAATAAATATCCAACACCTTCAAAGGAGCTGAATTCATACAGTAACTGGAGGCAAATCACAAGGGTTTTGAATGTTTGATTACTTTTTCTTTTTTTTTTACTAAAAATGTCTTAGGGTGCTAGAGATACTTCTAGGGAAAAGAAAAAAAGCAGGGATAGGTAAGTGAAAGGAGAGGGAAACAGAGAAAAAAAAAAAAAGGAATGATAAGGAAGAAAACATATAGAAATGCAACCAAAAAAAAGACAGAATAGCTGGATGAATGGAAAAAGAGACAACGGAAAGATAAAATTGTTTCTGTCAGTGTAAGTAATGGAGTGCTTCAGCTAGAATTCATTTTACATTTATTCTGGGGAGGAGAACATGTCCCACTGGGAACCAATAATCTGTCTGAGATTCTTCTCAATCTAAAAGCACTGCTGCAGGTCCACACCAGATGGATCAGCACATAAATCAAATGAAAAGCAATCTTCATTTGTCCATTACTTACTTCTCTTGGAGATCTGGAGCCTCCTTCTCGGAAGGTTGGTTTGCAGCGAAAATTAATCTGGCATTAAAATAAAGCTGTTAGAACTGAAAACAAGCTAAGAGAGAATTATTCTAATATGTTGATCTAGGCCAAATTTCTGAAATACTTATTATCTACTAAATATTAACTTCAAGAGCTGATCAAAGTAACTAATCTAGATGTCAGCAAATATATGCCGTAATAATTCTCCTTGCTAGACCTCTACACAACCCTCATCTTCACTAATGCTATTGCTGCCTGCTCAGCTCAACTATTTAAACTGTCTCCCCCTTGCTTAGAAGGAAACACTTCATCTGTTTTGGCCTTTTTGTTGTTTTGGGGGTTTGGTTTCTTTGCGGGGGAGGGGTGGTTAGGGATTTTGGTGGGGGTCTTTTGTTGTTGGGGGGGTGGGTGTTCTGATGAGAGTCATTTGCAACCAAAGAGGACTTGCAGTCTCAAAAGTTAATAGGACCTGGAAATGTAACCTGTGTAAGACCTCTTTGCAAATCCCAGTGTATAGAGAAAAAAAAAAATACATTGGAGAGAGGCATGGGAAAGGACCAAAGGATATGTGAGTTAAGGATACACTAAATTAAATAGATTCAAGCTTAAGATGACTATCTTTCAAAGAATACAATACTTAAGGATACTGCACAGCTATTCTTTTGTTATGAAAATAGAAGGATCAAGTTCCCTTAAATTTAAATACAACCCTTCCCATATAAATAAGTTTAATAATGACCTTCAAAATAATAGCTCAAAGGAGAAAAAAAAAGACAAAATACTCATTACTTACAAAGAAACTAAAGACATAGCAATATTAATCTTTCTCCTGGGACTGCTATTAGGTTTTTTGTCATCAAGTTGCGGCAGCCTCACAAAAACCAGACCCACAGGTTATGTTTATTTTACTTACAAACATACACCTTTGCAGAGAGGGCCAAGCAGAAGGCTTATGAACCAGTTTTAAACTCCACAGGCTTTAAGAAGGATACAGACTTTATAAAATCTTCTGCTAAGAGGTAAATTTCATGGTCTTCAGAATGGAATAAACAAGCTCAACAGAATGGGGTTTTATCTAAGTGCTCATTTTCTCTGGCTGGCAATGCCACCAGCTCGCTGGGCTAGGGAGAGTCAGTGAGCACTGCTGATGGTGAAGGAAGTCATGAAAAATTCACTGGTAGCACTTTGTGCTGAAAGTGTGTGCTAATGCTAATTTCACTGTGGGTAAAAGCATTGGGGGTGGAAAGGGTACCTCTCCAACTTGGCATTACGGCAATCACTATGACATTTGTCAACACAAGTCCAAATACTTGGAAAGGAAAAAACTTTTTCCAAAGGGTTGCTGCTATAAATTTGTTATGCATCAACTTATTTTATGAAGGACAACATTGAAAAACATACAGGAGTGGAAAAGGAGCTCTAATGAAATCAGTGGGAAAATTCCCATTCATATTTCTTTACACATACCCCACCAAAAAAGAAAAGGGTGGGGGGAGATTTCTGTAACACATTACCAGTTAAACTGGATGAAGACAAGTCGCTGTGGGGAAAACTAAAGTCAATGACAGATATTCTACAGGTGCTTGGGGATGACAAGGGCTCCTTGAAGGAACTGAGAAGCATGACAGATGCTCACAAAAAAATAATGGTACTAAGGGCAAAGTTTTGAGCAGAAAATACTATAGTCTAGTAAATACTGTGAAAAATGTTCATAGTAGCATCTTGTGCTGCCTTGCTTGTGATAAATATAGCTGTCATAAGATGAGTTATGCTGGGTTAATTGAGGAATTTTGAAAGTCCTATTTTGTACATGACAAGATTCTGCATTTTCTAGCTTCAATTTTCAATCTAGAAGTAGAGGGAAATTATTTTTCAAACAAAAAATGTGGAAGCATTCCATCGTGGAGGGGGGGTTGCTGTTGTTTGGCGCTTGCTTTGGTTTTGGCTTGGGTTTTGGGTGGTTTTTCTACCTTTTTTTTTTAATGGTTCACAGGGTTTAAAGAAATATACTTTAAAACATAAGCTGTAATTTAAAGTCAACAAATATATTGGTAAAACTGCTAGGAAAACCAACTTGGCATATGGTGTCTTCCACATTGAAGCCTGTGACTTTAGTAAGTGTTGTACACTTCAGGCTCCAGCAGATGGCAACCTCTTACCTTCTCTAACTGCTCCATGCACGCGTTGTGGACCACAATCTTGCAGGCAGCACACTTCCTCCGCAGAGCAGATTTCTGCAAGAGGAAAAGGAGGGAGACGTGTGTGCATAGAGGTGCGCTATTCCCAGGAGAAAAAAGAAAAAAAAGCTGTAAAGAAAGAGATGTTTCGTTCCTTGTGCAACATATATTTTGTTCCTCTCTTGGTGCTCTCAACTGTTCTGTATACTGAAGAACCGTCTGCAGCTCTTCCAGTTTAGAGTTGGACTTCGTGAAAAAGACAGAGCCACAGTACTCCAGCTTGTGAACTAGAAGTAAAAGGCTCCCTTTAAGTAGCGGATGAGGTTGTTAACAGTGCAGATCACCACTCCAAAAGGGAGCAGCCTGTGAAGATGATGAGCAGAGACAGCAAAAAGAGGAGAAACACCACACATGCAAATCAGAGAACTCGGATCAGTTCAGAACAGTCTGTCATTTCATGCTTACCATATAATATTTAATTTGATAGGCCTGACCTATCAAATTTTTACAATATTTACAAATATTGTAAAAAAATATTTGGGTACTCAGGTGATTTAGCAGAGGATGATAACCTTCTCACAGAAGGTTGTTTAATGATTGTGAAATATTACAGCAGGCACAAAATTCTCAACTTAATTATGCTGGTTAGTTTTATTAATTTCAGTAGGACTTTTAAGGTAATTCCAATTGAATCCCCTCACCAAAGCATATCAAAGGCAAGAGACTGCCTCCAGGAGAGAGAGGAAATATATTTACTATTATTTCTTGCATATACTCAATTTAATAAGCCAGATGAAATTAATTTCCATAGAAGTTTGACTTATAAACTTGTGCTTGAGGAACAGAAAGTTTATTAAACACATAATAAGTAGAGACTGATTTGTTTCAGATTTTTACATTCGATTTATTCATATTCATTTAAATCTCTTATAAACTATTTCTTTAGAATTTTCAATATACTGTAAATAAACTCTAGAAGAAACAGGAAGTGCAGCTTTGTCTCACATTATAGATAAATTATTATAAATTATTATATTTTTACCGAGTCTCATAAGTGTAATAATTATCTAGTTACACCCTATTTGTACGTGCTTACAGTATGTGGAGTGTTGTTCTAATGTTTCACCTGAAGAATGATGGTATCATATAAGACTAAGCTTTCATGTGTTTTGTGATGTGCTAGCTTTAAGTATGCTTTTAGTCTCTGTGTTTCCCAGGAAGAGTGAAACAATATAAAGTAATCCATCCCTAAGATGAAAAACTGCAAAAAGCAAACAAAGATAGTGCCTTATGAGCAGCTTTTATATCTTGCTTTTTAAGTTGTTCTCATGATTCTTGAATATTGGTGGCATTGTAAGTAGTTACAACCATATATAGTGAGAGGCTATCTTTCCCATTACTTTTAACTACTTTAATTTATCATAAAATGTCATCTTCATATTCCAGAGATTATGAGTTAATGTTCTTTATAGGCTAACAATATATGCAAAGTCTGTGCAGTTACAGCTTAATTATTTGTCACCACTTCTCCATTGAAAACATTTGATCTTAAATAATCTCCATGTAAAAGAGCTAAGTCAAAGGAAGACAAGTGCTGGCATAGAAAAACACAGTGTCTTCAAAAGATTCAAATGGAAAAGCATTAGCCTCTTGCCAGATCAGGTTAAACTAATCACTATTGAAATTAACTGGATTTTCCTTTCCATCTCTAGTTCTTAAGGTAATGAAAGCCCCATACCCTGGGACTATAAACTCAGATTTTGCTTCCCCCAAATGGAACCAATATACTAGTACCTTAAAGTGAAAAGATTCTCAGTCAGGTCAAGCAAAGTCCAGGCAATTAAGAACTGAGCAAAGTTAAGTTCTGATGCTTCCTAAACATGACTCAACATCTCTAGGCCTATTGGCTGGAAAAGCTTGTCACCACGTAAGATGTCTCCTAACATTCCCAGATAAAAGTGTAAATCAATGGATCTAATTCACCAGCTACTGCAAACAGTCCTTCCAGCTCCTAGAGAGATACATGTTTAAAACTAAGATGCAACCTTGAAAATCATATGCACATATTACTAAATTTCCATGCTCCTTTCAAGGAGCTAATTCACAGGGAATTATTTACTTAGTCTTAGAAAGGCAAACTTCTATTAAGACCGTAAGAACAGTCATACTGGGTCAGACCAAAGATCCACTTAGCCAAGCAGATCCTGTCTCTAGCTCTGCTAAAGCCTAGTGCCTTCAGACCAGTATAAGCACAGAATGACACTTCATAGAATACCAGCTTGGAAGGAACCTCAAGCAACCTTTCTTGGAAAAAACACAGCCTGGATAAGACAGCCCAACACCCTTTCCAGATGAATCTTAAAAGTATCCAGTGTTGGGGAATCCACCACTTCCCTTGAACATCACCACACAATCAGCAGGCTGTTACTGTTGGGACTTTGCTTCAGTATTCTTTGAAAGCAGGCATAGACTTCCCAGGCTTAATCTTAGTATTATATCTCATAAAGTAACTAATTTGCTTGAGAAGTTCTGGGGAGGTGGATATTAAATTTGAGCTATGGAAAGCACTAGTGTTTTGGATCAAAGAGTCCCAAAAGCTGGAGGTGGTTAGTGAATCAAAATACTCTGATTTGGATCAAATGTTCTGAGGTTTGGGCTTGGGGTTTGTTTTGTTTTTTGAACAAAAGCAAAAAAAATGGTATCGTGAAGAGCCACAGGCAGTATCCAGAAACACCTCAGAGAAGAGGGACTCCCCTTATACTTTGCAGTCTAAGGCCAGATGCTCCCTCAAGCGCTGATTCAAAGCAAGGGCTTGAACACAGGATTCCTACTGTCTCACCATATTTCCTAAATACCAAGTTAAGAGGGATATGGCATAAGATGGGTTTGGTCTTTTTCTTCTTTTCTGCTGAAGCAGTTTAACTAAAATACTAGGTGAAGAGTTGCTGAAGCAGACTGGAAGTATAAAAGTAACTCCCCACTCAAAGAAGAGATACACATGAGTTAGAGATCAAAACCTTCAATATGAAAAGGCAAACTTCAAATATTCTTGAATAGGAGAAGGCAAACACTGGAATATGAGCGCACTAATGAGTGCATTCAAGAGTTTGGAAAATTCAGTTCAAGTCCTTGCAGTGATTAAAGTCACAAAAATTTGATCAGATCCTATTCTCAGAGACATTCATGCATATAAATAAAATAGGTTACTTTGAACATTTCTGAAATATCTCAATATTCTAACCTTTCTCCCCCTTACCATATCAATAAAGATACTCATTAAAGCCATTCTCATTGTGTATATAATCTGGGTCACACAAAAATCCTTAGGGCTTTTTCCCCAAGCAACAATGTCTTCAACTAGAAGCTTTTTGCTCCTTTCACATTCTTTCTGGAGCACAGGCATCAACAACAGCAAACAATTCAAGCTCCCAAGTGTCTGAGTGCTGTATCAGTCTGAAGCAAGGCTTGTTACCTCAAAAAGAAAGAAGAAAAAGTGGAAATAACTCACTGAGAATTTGACTTGGCAGCTTTCCTCCCCCAGGTAGCAGAGGTCCCCAGAAACATTTGTCTCCAGCCACAGATGCTCTCCATTCACAGCATTTTCCTGAGGAAAGATGATTGTTATTCTGGTTTGTGAAACTCAGCTACGTGAGTACAGAGGAAAAAAAAAAAAAAGAAAAATTTCTGATTTTCACCACAAATTCACGTGTTGTTTTGTTTTTCTGCAACGCAAAGCCAAAAGCCATAACAGTATCACCCTGGGAGACCAACACTGCGTAGAAGATGTTGATGATACAATGAATAATGTGTCACCAATCAGAAACACAGTTTTTTTATGTACAGTTCAGTGAAACTTTGCGCTCATGTTCTTCCCACATGCTGCATAGTTTAACTGAGACTCTAGCATGACATATACACAGGATTGTAAATAAACAGAAAATCAAGAGAGGTGAATAAAAACCACAAGTACTGAACTTTGAATTGGAGAAGCCCAAATATTTGAGAACCAGGCCCAGAAGTGCAAAATAATATACTAACTATAACTTTAGGATAATGGGATAGTTTATACAAGGAAAAATGCTTTCTTTAGAATGGCTGGATCAACACTGTATGTTTATGGAAACATCAACAAAAAGTTAAGTGGCCAGGAGAGACCAGACTTCAATTTTATACCTCAAAGAATGATACTTACGCAGAGAGCACTCTCAAAAAAAAAAAAATCTACCTAGGAAACTCACAGCTAGTAGTGATTGACATGGTAACATCTGATTTTTCATTGACAGCCTCATTTGACCAAAACTGTACCTCAGTTCTTTAAAAAATCTAGCTCTGAGGAAATTTGGTTGTATAAAGCCTAAAGTTTTTACTTGACTATAATCCTGGTTTGACTAAAAAGCCTAAGAAGCCTACTGTACACTACCTGAGCAAAGTGAATAAACACAATTTCTGTTCAGCCAGAATTAGAGCACGATGGAAAACACTTTGACAGTCTCTGACATTTGGTTCCCACACTGCAGAAGTCACAAATGATGACGCTTACCAAACAGATGGCGTCCGACAGCAGGATGCTCTGAAATAGCCATCTTGGTTAAAATAATTTATTTTAAATACCACTGACAGCTTCAAAGTGCTGAAATGAGAAAGCTTCTCTTGCTGTGCAGATTTCTTAGGTAATGCAGAGAAGCAGAAGTAGCAAAATCCTTTGCCTTCTGGAGTACAAGTGCATCCACAATAGCCAAAACGTGTGCAAGTCTTCATGTGGTGCCCACTGCAACTATGGAGTTGTCTTCAAATAAATCAAGACAACAAGAACAACACTGAGGGTTTTCTGCTACAAGGTCTACCTGTCCACAGGTCTAACTTCATCAGGGGTGTTCCCATTGATGTCAGACTCGGTGATATCCGTCAGCACAAGGGGATGGATGAAAGTGAGACTTGGATTCCAGTCTACCGCCATTGCACCCTAGTTACTCTTCATTTAGTGGCACTGTGCTATACCGCCATTTCTTCTCATCCTTCTGTCTGCCTGTTCACCTGAACTATAGAGCCCTTGGGACAGAGACTTTCCTGAACTGCACAGTTTTCAGTGCACAATAGTTTAGGTGAGGATTTTTATTATGCAAAATAATTTTTGAGGACTTGAACTAGCTTAAGAAATTCTTTGAGACTTACTCAGACAGTAAATTATTCAGACTGTAAGTTCTTTCCCTTCAAGTTTACATTTATATTAATTTTCTTTCCCAAGAACTGCACCAGTTTTATAGCATACTAATAAGATCACTATGTCCACAGTATTGCCCAACATACGAACTTCCTGTCTAGTTTGTGAGGAGCCAGACAAGAGGACCAAAGCAGGAGGGTATGAGCTCAAAAAGTGCTTGACCTGAACACATTCTTTGTTGATGAAACAGTGCAAACTCAACATTATAACCTGGAGTTAAATTTCACAGATTAGAAGAGATGTTTGGGAAGGATCAGCTGTTAAAGCCAAGTAAGAAAGCACACAGCTCTTGGGACATAGTTTTTAATGAGGAATCAAAATTATATTGAAAAGAAAAAAGATTAAACATCCCTTCATTCAGACCATGTCCACATAACTTGCCATCCAGGATTTCTAAAGATAAAGTGGCCTATTTCCATAACCTAGTTTTGACTGATCCCAGGGTAAATAAAATCAGCAAGTAGCCTACAAGGATGACCTTTGTAGCTCATGTTATGATAGAGTTCTGACAAGACTAGATAATAAAAATGTAAATAACCTGATATGCTGTAAGTGGCACACCTCCAGATACCTACTGCCACGAACGATTCCACAATGCTGTGTATCAAAATTCACAATTTCAATTCCATCAAACAGACATTGGAAAAAAATCTTTCACTCTGAATTAGAGCAAAGACCTGAGACTTCCCAAGATGAAATGTCCTCTTGCAGAAGAGCTCTGCCTGTTGATTACTTTGTCTCAATAAGATCAAAGGGAATTATTTGAACCTCACTGTTTTGAATTTTACAGGGCACTGTCATTTATATGATGAGACATTCTGTTGCTGTTTAGGAGAATCAAGATGATATAGTCAAAGGAAAATACTTTGACCTTTTCTAAACCTGATTTTCCTTTCAATTCTAATAGTAAATTTTGACAAAAATCAATACGTTTCTATAAAGAATTTTGACTTCAGAAAATCAGCATTTTCTACTCCAAAATTTACAGGCAGTATTTCACGATGTGCAGGACAAAGGGGTACTTCATCTACCAACACATAAGCTGACAAAAGGTCTCTGGGATCATGTCTGGCACGATCTCTGATTTAACACAAAATTAAAGCACAACAAAGGCTACGTCATCACTTCTATATTTTGATACAGTTTTTTTTTCCCACAACAGTTTTGAATTCAGTGTTCAGCAACCTTTTCATAAGTACTTTGCCAGCTTGGTTTATTTTGCACTTGACATCTTTGTTTGGCTTTAGGAGTAAATAACTACTAAAGTGGCAGTCGTCCTCTTTCTGTCCTTTACCCCTTAAACTCCAGTCTCATGGTTTTGCTATTTTCCTCATGCTGGAGCTAGTGGCTGTGAAACTACACATGAACCAGTATAACTAATTGCAAAAAAATAGATAAATTTTATCTACTAAATCAGTGAGACAAAATGACTCACCCTGGGACAACATAACTGCTGGATCTGACAGAAGGAGTGGTGGGTTAAAGGTTGGTTCAGTGGGACCTGATGGTTTTAGTACCAATTTGGTGTTAGAGCAGTTTAACTGACCTGTCAGATCATGCTTTTAGTCTGACACATTTTGCTTTGACTTGCTACATAGTGAAGGGACAGTCCATCATCATGGATAAAACAGCAATGACCATAGCCTAGTATTCTGCTGTTAAAAAGAAAATTTGGAACTCTCCTTCCTTGCCTGGCTTCCCAGCCTTTGGAAGAGTGGGAACTCGGTGTCCTGTGAAGACCTGCTCACTGAAGCGGAGGCAGCAGTGCTTTCCCAGTAGATGCAGTCTGCCTCACAGGGGACACATGAACTCAATGTGCTCTCCCACATGGAGACCTCTCATTTGATTGCTCCTGATCCATTACCACCTTAATAGCAAACAAAAATAATTTCAGTACAGCAAGCATTCCTTGCATATGAAACAAAAAACACACACAATCCCTCCCTTCCCTGATGTGAGAGAGAAATAGGGATTCAAGGGCTAGGAGTATGGGAACAATGTAATTACATGTGTGGGATCATAACTTGTGCACATTTCACCAATTCAGGTACATTTCTTAAATGCCCCATCATGGCTAAATGACAGAGTAAGTATTACCATTTTTCTAAAGCCCTTAAGTACGTCTATACCTCACTGTTCTTCAGGCTGCAGTCAGCATGGTTGCATGGTTTCAAAAGCAATACAGATAAACCCGAGTAATTTAATTTGCCATGACAAGCAGCTGCACATATTCAAACAAACACATCAGTTAGTCCAACTTTCTAGTTCAAAGGAGTTGTAACTCCAATTGTAATAGGAAGAATGAAGCATTCCAACACTCCTGCCAGGACTGGCCTTCTGCAAAAAAAAATTGTAAGACAGATTCCTAAAATAAGCCATTAAGAATTTTTTCCCCTTGCTAACACTCCAGTGAGAGAGAGTAATCTTCTTACAAATATACATTTGGGTGATAAACATTTTAGTGTAAAGTTAGTGCTCATCAATCTAAATTTAATTAAATATATTTGTAAGCAAAAAATACCTTTAGCCCTTTTCTTCATGATGTCACTATTAAGCAGAAACAAGCTTGTTTGGATGTCTTTTCCCCAAATGTGTGTGTCTCACGTTTGGCTTGTGTTTTACCCTTAAATCTAAAATTCCAGAGTTTGCAATGCTTATGTTGCAAACAGCTGCAATGTCCTAAATGTTTTTCTGTTGAATTATATTCGCAATTTAGCACATTTTAATTTCAGAATATTCTTCATGTAGAAGTCACCTTTTCTTTAATTATTACAAATGTAATACATGGACATAAAAAAAACAAACAACAAACCCCATTGTGCAGATGCAGTACTATATCATTATTTCAAAATAACTTGCAGATACATAGGCTCCAACTTTCAGAACTACTTTTGGACATGTAACTTTTAGGCCTGGTTCACCACATTCTCTATCTTATTATGCTATTTTCTTTTCCACCACCACACTTTCCAACATCTCTGCATCAGTTGCCTACTCCTGTATTCTTTGTTGACCTCTTGAGACTACTGTCATCTAAAATATCATCTGTATGCTGAAGCAGAATAACAATGTTTGTCTTCACAAAGGAGCAATGTCCAGCCACTATCAACTGAGATGATGATTCCCTATGTTCTCATGAACCATTATTTCAGCTGACAAAAGCTTTGCTACAAAAAAGACTGAAGTTAAGGGGAAAAATATACCTGTTTTCAAGAAGGGCATCTTCTGTAGTATTACTCTATCCTCTATAATACTGGGGAAAAAAATAGAGATGGCCACCATTTTGAAATATGACAACCCTTTTTTTTCTGTTTCAGTCTCTCTGGAAAGAATACTAGTTCACAAAACCTCAATGAAGAAGCAACAGCAGGGTAGGACTACTGATTCTGAACCCATGGCTTCCTGTGATCTGCACACAAAATTTCAGCAGTTTTTAAGTATGCATGGAGCCTGCATTCAGCACTAGTTATTTAAGTGGAACTAAAGCTCCCAGCACCTGTACAGGCACAGCTACAGGTTGAGCAAAGAAGAGATTCAGAGCAGCCCTGCAGAGAAGGACTTGGGGGTGCTGGTCGATGAGAAAATGAACATGAGCCAGCTTTAGGGTGCGCTCGCAGCCCAGAAAGCCAACCGTATCCTGAGCTACATCAAAAGGAGCGTGACCAGCAGGTCGAAGGAGGTGATCCTGCCCCTCTACTCTGCTCTTGTGAGACCTCACCTGGAGTATTGTGTGCAGTTCTGGTGTCCTCAACATAAAAAGGACATGGAACTGTTGGAACAAGTCCAGAGAAGGGCCACGAGGATGATCAGGAGACTGGAGCACCTCCTGTATGAAGCTAGGCTGAGAAAGTTGGGGCTGTTCATCCTGGAGAAGAGAAGGCTGTGTGGAGACCTCATAGCAGCCTTCCAGTATCTGAAGGGGGGCTATAGGGATGCTGAGGAGGGTCTCTTCATTAGGGACTGTAGTGACAGGACAAGGGGTAACGGGTTAAAACTTAAACAGGGGAAGTTTAGATTGGATATAAGGAGGAAATTCTTTCCTAATAAGGTGGTGAGGCACTGGCATGGGTTGCCCAGGGAGGTTGTGAGTGCTCCATCCCTGGTGGTGTTTAAGACCAGGTTGGACAGAGCCTTGGGTGCCATGGTTTAGTGTGAGGTGTCCCTGCCCATGGCAGGGGGGTTAGAAATAGATGATCTTAAGGTCCTTTCCAACCCTAACTATTCTATGATTCTATGTTTTTATGTGACTAAAGGATACCCATACCACAGGGTTCTCCTTTCTCATGTGAGCGTCTGATAATGTAGATCTCTTTAACTGAATACTCACTTCCCAATTGCAAAACTTAGTCGTGCAGAAACTCTAATGGAAGGGAAATATCCCTCAGTGTAAAAATTAGTATAGCTTTTAGGAATTGATGATACAGAAGCCAAACCTTTCACATAGAAAAGAAATGCATTTATTCACATTACTGAGAGAAATATTTCATCCTATGTAAAACACATTAGCATATTAAATGTATGTTAATTATCTGAAGTCTACATCACTAGGCAGTTATAAACACATACTCTCCATGAAAGTAAATGAACAGCACTACTGACTAATGCTAAAAAGACCCAGAACATAATGCACTGCAAAGTCACGTTCACCAATTATAAATACCTCACTAGCACAGGCCTTCTTACTGTCTATTTATCTAGCCCATACTTCATCAGTTTGTCTACAAGGGTGTAATGGGAGATAGTTTTGAAAGCCTTGTAAAAGTCAACATAACAGCCATTGCTCTTCCCTCATCCCCTCATTAAATGACCAAGCAAGTCATTTAAGTATAGAAGGCGGTCAAGTTTGTCAGACATTATCTCCTCTCCATAGATCCATTCTGACTACTCTCAATCACTTTCTTATTCTTAATATTTTTGGAAATGGCTTCCAGAAAGATTTGCTCCAACACCTTCCTAGGAATGAAGGTGAGGCTGATCAGTCTGTAGCTCCCTGGATCCTCCTCCTTGTTCTTGAAGGCAGGATTAACATTTGCCTTTTTGCAGTCCTTAGGAACCTCCTCTGATCATTATGACCTTTCAAAGACAACAGACTGCTCGTGCAATTATACCGGCCAGCTCTCTCAGCACTTACGTGTTCATCCCACCAGGCCCCATAGACTTCTGTATGTTTAGCCTGAGCCTGAGCCTTCTGTAATTGAATCATCCTCTACAAAAGTAAATCTTCCTTGGTTCAGTCACTGATGTCAGGGACCTGGCATTCTTGAAGTAAAAAAAGAGGTTAAATAAAAAACCAAAACATTGAGCACATTGGGTTTTCCAGGTGCTTTGTCACCACACCCCTTGCTCAATTCAGCAGTGTTCCTACTGCTGTTGATATGCCTACAGAAACCATTCTTGATGCCCTTCATATTCCTGTCAACACTGGATGAGGTCTGGCTTTCCATACCCCATACATATGCAATTGTGTAGTGCCTTTTACAATTCTTCTGGGTGGGTCTGACCCTGCTTCCATATATTGCTAAAAGGCAGTTTTCAGCCTCTACTCAAATGCATAGTTTTCTATTCCTGTTAGGATGTATACAATTCTTTTTCTTTTACACATACAATTTATGGTATACGGTTATAATAGTTGTCATCTGAAAAACATCCAGTTTGCACCCAGGGAACTCTGACTGTGCATTCACAGAACACAAAGCACAAATAAGTCTCACATTTTTTTCACAGAACTCCAAGAATGGAAGCTGCATGTCTTCAAATGATTCTTTAAAAGACATAACCAGGGTTTTAAGTTTTGTGGTCGTGGGCCATAAATGCCTGCTTAGGAAGAAGGCGAGAAATAGACATCAACAGACAAATGCATTACAGACAAACAAAATGAGATATATTTGACCAGCAGGAAGCTCAACACATGAACATCCTAGTGGCTGACAAGATTTTTGTAGGCACCAAAGAAAGCAAGACCTAGAAGGCAGTACTTAGGAAGGAAATTACAGGATGACTTTGTGCAAAAGCTTATGGTTATTTTCCTTGGGAGTAAATGGCACCATGAATATAGACAAATATCTAGATCCCCAGTGGTACACAGGCACGGTATGAGGTGGCTCAATCGGTACTGGGCTAGAATCTCAGTCCAAATCTTGGCTAGAATTACTTAGTTTATCATTTAACACATGGGAGTGATGCCTAAAATGGTGGAGGGTGGGAGAAGGGGCTATGCTTAAACATATCACAGGGACAGGCATTTGAGGTGGTTCCTTTATAATAAGGCATATTCTGCATTCCCCTCTGGCTATAACATCACATACTCCAGAGAATATATTTCCTATGGCCCTGCTGTGAAAAGATAACATTAAATTAGACAAACCAGCTACAAGTTAACATGCATTAGGTGTAGCAAATGTTATGAAACTGGGCATTTGTAAGACTGTTAGAAAAAAGAAACTTCAGGGATGACAGATAGTAGCAACAGCAATAATAAAGGCATACAGTTTCTTATTGTGAAAGGGCTTCAGAGGCATCAGAATCCTCATCTCCATTTTGCAGCAAGAGAGGCTGAGGTATCAAGAGGTAAAAAAATTCATTTGAGCTCACTCACAAGGTAAGTTGGCAGAGTAGAGAATGGAAATCCCACTCTCTGAATCAGTGTCCTATTCACAAGACCATCTGATACTGGCAAATCACCTTGAAGGAATAAGCAACAGTGGAGACTGTAGCCAGGAAATTCCACTTATCACTGTGAAGACAACAGTGAGGAAACATTTTCTACTACAAAGACAAGTGACAGTATATGTTCATGTCATTTAGACTTTGGAAAGCTCTCCCATCATGGGTCCTTGGAGAATCCTCCTCAGAAATACTGAAGAGCAGGATGACATAGATGGGGATACAAAATGCACTGCTTAATGCTGCCTTCCAGTGATTAAACATGAAAACTTCATGTCCGTCTCCAACACATCTTGATCTAAACATCTTTTCACTCTACCAAATATAACCTTGTATTTAAACATTTGTATTTAAAACTTACATTTTTTCTTTATTGACATTTGCTACCCATTATAAACTTTGGTCTTTCAAGAGGATTCTGTGTAAGCTTTCAAACTATTCTTAGCACATATCAGTGCATAACCACATGGGAGATGCATGGGAATGGTTCAAGGTCTGTACCAGGAGAGGTTCAGACTTTATATTAGGAAATATTTCTGTAGTGACAAAGTGGTTAAACACTGGAATAGGTTTCCTAGAGAGGCAGTCAATGCCCTGAGCCTGTCAGTGTTTAGCAACATCTAGACAATGATCTTAACAAAGTACTTTAACTTTTGGTCAGCCCTGAAGTGGTCAAGCAGTTAGACTACATAATAGCTGTATGTTCCTTCCAACTGAAATATTATATTCTATTCCAAACAGGCACCGTATATAGTAGTCCAGAAGCACAACAGAAGGAAGATGGGAGAGATGGAAACATGATCTCTTTCTACAAACCAGCTTGGGCCAAGGAGATATCTAGCCCTGCCTACAAAGTATTGTGAGCAAATATTTCTATTACCTACTCTACAGACCCAGTCAACTCTACCTGGGCCTTCAGCCTTAAATTCTGGCCCATCAAGCAGAGGTTAAAAACCTTGCTGTGCTAAAATCAGACCCTCTTTGGATGGCAAGAAGGCAGTGATCCAATGTAAGAAGACAGCTCCTGAGCTTGAAAAACTGAACAGCTGTCCTGTGCTGCTCAAGTCTCTACAAGTTTCCATCTCTCCCTTGTGCTTCATTTCATAATAGAAGCATGCTCCTAATGACCAGCACTAATTCTCATAGCAATACAATGTCTTATGTAGATTTAAAGATGGAGACAGCACTAGTGAGAGATACTGCTCAAATTAACTGCCAAAAAACAAAATACCTACAGTCCACTCTAAGGCTGCCCTTGGTTCCTTCACAGGTCCATTGGAGACTGCGATGTTGACAGAATGCACAGGAGCCAAGTGCTGGAGGCCTGACCTGGAAATTGCTTTCCTGCATATTAAAACAAAACAAAACAAAACAAAAACAAAAACAAACAAATAAATAGAGTGCATATCCAGTATAATTACCCAACATAATTATCCACACCACCCTTCTCCAGAAATCAGAAGAGCCAGTACAGCATCTAATTTCAGCTTGGGCAAAATGGTGCTTGAATGACATCCCCAGCTAAAGCAGTTTAGGAAAAGAATAAAGTAATCTGATCACTGAAAATTACTGTTTAATGAAGATCGGTTACTCATCTGGCACTAAGCTGAAATATCAAATCCAGTGGACTCCACATGGTTCTGTCTGCCAGTTTCAGTGGAGTCCTCATTAGTTACACCTATTCCTTATTTACCAGCTGAACCTGCTGAATCAATCTATACATAATTCCAAATAGCCTTTATTGTAGGAATGAAATATGAGTTTGTATGAAGAGAGCAACATCTGTTGCCTTTACTTAGTTTATAGGCTGGGAAAAGTCGTGCATTCGGTGTCCGACTACAACAGGATAAGGGGACGCTATGTAGTCAGGAAGTTAAGACCTTATTTGATCATAACAGCAGCCCTCAAGGTATTACAGCTTCTTTCCACTTGTATTTCAATTCTTTTTGGTCCAAAGTCATTCTAACAGCTCTTGAGGCACAGATATGGCCTCCCACAGTTCACAGATGGTGACCAGGGACCCTCCTGGAGCCACATGAGTGATGAGGGAAACACGGCCTGTTTCCCTAGAGGCAAGCTGTCCTGCTGTATCCGCCTGGAACAGTGAACCACTAGGCAGAAGCACAGTACACTACTGATATAAAGCTCAGCTGCACTTGGACAATAGGTTTCATAAAGCTTCATAACATTATTGTGTTGCATATTTTAGCACCTGATGGTGGTGGCTGAAGCAATTTCACAGTTTCAGCTGCAATGATGCAGAAGAGGACAAAAACATCTGAAGGAGAGATCTCCTTTTGAAAGCCAGATACACACATCCCCCACAAAGCAAAATGACGGTCTGTTTGTGTAAAGTGCATTTTTGTGATACCACTCCCACAGTGCGACAGCTATTTATAGCATCTCCTAATCTTACCACTGTCCCAAGGCAATAAAGGTCAATTGAGCCAGTGATGACAATCCAGGTCAGCCATATGCTAAATAAATCTTTTCATTGTCCTGAAAATATACAGTGCAATATTTATCCACAGTAAAGGAGCTTGGAAGCCTCACTGCTCACAGTGCATGTCTGGAAAAATCGAGTGGGCCGAATCAGAATCTCTTACATTGCCTTTCCTGTGGGTAGCATGAACGACTCAGAACATTAACATAAGCCTCTGATCATCTAATGCCCCCTTTCCACTTAATGTGGGCAAGACACTGACATTAAGGCTTTTTTTCCATAACATTTTGCATCTGACAAAAACTTTTTAGAGGGAAAGAGCCCAAGGAAAAGACTCGCATTACTTGGTGATATATGAGAAGCAAACAATTTAGCAAGAAAGATTTTATGCCATATATGTCAGTACAACATAAGCTACACATCTCAATGACAGGATTAAGACCTTAAAGAAATAAACTGTAAGAAACTACAATTTTTTTATACCTATATTTTTCCAGAAAATTGGCAGTTTTCTTTCATGCTGTTTTGGATATCAATTTAGTTATTAGTTTTTCCTCAGCACAAGAGCACATTCTGTGTGTATTCATGTTTTTTAATGGAAATGGGGCAGTATCACGTTTTTCACCCTGCATCACTGACAGCAATAAACCTACCTAGTCCTGCTGTCGTAATAGAGTAAGGTAGAACCCACTTTGTGCACAGCAGTTCTTAAGCAAAGGTGGTTGAATAATAAAGAGTTAGCAGTTTATTATTTGATGAGAAATGCCAACATTTTCAGCCAATGTAGCTTACAGCCTATTACTTGTCAAGCAATACAGCCTGTAAAGTTGCATGCATTCACTAAGCAAATTTACTCAAGCAAAGTCTAACAATGAGTACTCCTAAGACCAAATTCATCTGACTAGTCTTCAGACAAGGCTTCTCCAGCTGGAAGGAAAATTCAGCAGAGACTTAAAAGGTAAATATGCCTTATGTACGGCTACAGACATCTCAGCATCAAGCCTTGGATGCAATTTCAAGTCATACTGGAGATGTGCAAGCCTCCTGCAGCAGAACCTAAGACTTGGCCCACGTCCCTTCAAAAGCAAGCTGAGGCTGATGAGCCTTTTGGGGGAGACTTGGCAGTGTTTTGTGCCAACAGCCTGCCCTTTCTCTGCATGCCAAGCTGGATTTATGGCTTTGTCTGAAACACAGACACGACAATAATGCCCTTTTTTTCATGTTTGTTTTAAAGTAAAAGCCTTAAAATTACCTCAGGGATTGCAAATTTGCATGGACCAGCCAGAGGTGACCCTCAGGCCCAGGGACAAGCTAAAAATGTCTACTTTTACACAGCTTCTTATCAGAACTTTGTCTCTGAACAAAGAGAGACAGAGTGTCAAAACACACTGCAGAAGCCTTTCCCATTAAAGAAAAAAAAAAGGAGGTCAGGCTAAAGAGCAAACACATGGCCTTCTAATAAGTGCAAGGCAGATGAGACAGGGGAAAATAGGGGGAAGGGAAGGTAGCGCAAATCTGATAACAGAACAGATGCCGAGTAGCCAGGAGATCACATCTCATATTACTTTAACTAGCAGATTACACCACCTGGCACTTTTCCAACAGCAAGGTAACACCAGTGGCTTTTACTTAGCTTTCCCAGCAATTTCATCTCCACTGCTCTGAGTGCATGAATGAAAACACAGGCTTGACAGACAGCCTTTCCCATAGAAGCAGAAGTAATCGCTGTTCTCCAGATAGAAGACAGCCATAAAAAGTGAAACTGCTTTCATGATATGTTCCATTCTTGAGGCTACAAATCCACAACTTTGTTAATATGGGCACAACAGCCAGCTTGCTGGTGTAGCAATCAACAAATAAACATTACATGACAAGTAATGAGCTGTATTTTGGTAATTACTTCTTCATATCCAGTAATTTTTAGTAGATGTTATTATCAACTTAGCTGACACACCACCCCTGTGAATGAGCATGGGTGCATAGAGAAGTGTATGCTATTAAATATACAACAAACAAAAAGATCTGATACTAATTCCACAGTTGATCTCATTAAGAAAATTTAGAGTAGTTCACTGTCTTGGGAACCAAAAGCAAGCAGATATTCAAGATATTCAAGTCTAACATGTTTCTTTTTTCTTATTTCTTTTTTTGTAAAAAAAAAGCATTACAATTTCATTTTGCTGAAAAGTCAGGCGAGACTCAACCTACTTATTAGATCAAAGGATACATGTTTTATAAGGGGGGATTTGAGTTTATATCCCAGGCTTTGGCTTTACTGAGCCTTTTCTTCCACCTCAGGCATGTAAAAATCCTCCAATGATTTGTTTAGACTGAATAGTTATGCCTGAATCCTCAAAGACAGCAAAAGACAATTAGTCAATAGTGTGAAGCTTATTTAAACATTAGGAAAATCTATTTGGAAAAGAGAGAGTAAGCTAGTGCTGTGCACAGTTAACAGATCTGAGTGTCATTTTAGTCAGTACAACTGTTGGAGTAGCCACCTTTCCAGGCTGGAGTTATTTCCCTTCTTTCCATAGGGGCATAATTTACCATTGGGGTAGCCTTTCAGCTGCAAGGTTGAAAGATCATAAAAACACAGACACTGGCTTCTACAGATCCTATGGCTAGGATATCTGCCAGGAGAGAGATTTCTGTAAGTCTTTTCTCAAAGTTAATCCAGATATTTCCCAGAAAACAACAGCCATTTCTATACCAACGTTTAAGTTACAATAGCTCTGCTCTTCTTTGAATATCCAATGCAGATAAACCCTACACCTGCCAGCTTTCAGCTTTGTCAACCACAACTTGAAAATCCCTGTATAAGGCCAGACAATACATGAACAATTTCTGTGTCTCCAAGTTTGCTTGGAGGTGGTTTTCACTCCCACTGTTTGGTGCTTATGAGAGTCACAAACAAAATGTACTGGCTAAACTCAGGCATTATTTAAGTTTTCCCCACGCATCTCTGCTGACTGCGCAGTGCTCCTGCAACCTGCTGTTCCCAGCTTGCCTTCTGAGTATGTAATATTCTCCTCTCAAGCTGACCACAGGCCAAGGACTATTTCACTGCAACACCAAGATTCCCAAATTTTTTCATTCTGTATAAAATAAGACAACTTCAGTCAAATCAAATAATTTTTCTAGTCTAGTATCCCATCTCTGACAACAGCAAGTAGCAGGTGTTTAGAGAAGCGCTGGCACAAATTAAGTGATCCTCCCCCTGATATACTCCAGTCCCAGCTTCCAGTAATTGGTAGTTTAAGGACTTCCTGAGCTGGAGGCTGCTTCCAGACCTTTGTGCTTAATAGACTGTAATGGTTCTTTACTCTAGGAATGTGTTGGTCTTTCCCTGAACCCATTTATTCTCTTGGTCTCCACAGTAGCCTATGTAATGAGCTCCTCAATTTAATTAAGGCCAGTGTAAAGTACTTACTTCTGTCTGTTTTTAAAATTCTGCCTGATAATTCAATTGGTGCATCATATTGTGCAGAACAGCAAGTAATCACTTGACTCTCTACACCTTCTGTGATTTTATGAATCTATTCATATACCCCTCCATTCACCTTCCCCTCTGAAGTGGAAGCATCCTAGACTGTGTTGTCGTTCGCTGATACTGAAGCTGCTCTATCTTTGTCAATGTTTTCTAGCTCAATTATATCTTTTTTTGAGGTAGGACTGCCAGAATCAGAACAAGTATTCCAGAGGTTTATCAGTGATGTCATTGTACTATCTCTATTGTTATCTTTTTCCCCTCCCTCATTCTGAGCCCTTTATTTGCCTTTTTATCACTATGAGCACTAAATTAATCATTTCATAGAAGTACTAGTAATTATCCAAAGATCCCTTTCCTGAATCCTAAATGGTAATATGAAGCCCAAACTTTTAAGCTTTTTTTCCCTTC